CTTTTTAATTTGACTTGAAGGCAAAGATAACTCCGTTAATAGTAAGGCCGGGTACACGTTGGTGAGCTGTGGATCAGATAAGATGAACAGATAAGAAAGGTAGGGACGATATAGGAATATATCAAAGCGTCTTTCTCAAGATGGACGAATATGTGACGTTAAAAAATAAATGTTAAATTATATATCTTTAGAACACAGAGGTAAGGTACAGGTTGGTGAGCTGTGATGAAACAGATAAGATAGATGGATAAGAGAGGTAGGTACAATAGAAGAACATATTAAATCATCTTCCTAAGATGGAGGAATATGTGACGTTAAAAAAATAAATGTTAAAGTTATCTTTAGAACACAAAGGTAGTCCTTTTAAATGTTTACGAGCAACTTGAAAAGATTTCCATAGTTTTGTGCTTCCAAGTAGCCAGATCTTCGTGGGGTAGGTGAAATGGGTTTCTTTTGTGAATGCATGTTTAGCTGTCGCATCAGCTATATTTACAGCCGGGTTCCACTCAAGCCACCAATACATGTTGACCGAGCTTAAGTCAACCTTAGCGCAGGGAAAATGATACAAGGCAACTGATACCGTCTAGTTGGGCAAGCTTCAAGAAGACCAATGCAAGTGGCTAATAAAGACGAGCTTCGTAGAGCTGCCAATACGTTCCATTGGCTTAAGCACGTCTAAGAATACCCCGACGACGAAATCAACCGTGGCAATGCGCCTCCGACTCCTCCTACACAGGCCAAAATCATCAACACTACACAGCTAGCAAACTTGCACACTAGCTTAGCATTAGACAGACACCGCACCCGTAGGATAAGAGTGCGAAAACCCGATCTACACACGACACGCTATACTAGGTACAGATACGTCCTTGGGCGTTTTTCCCCGCCCCCACGACAATGGCTAACTAGAGCCGAGGTCCGAGTCTCAGAGACGCTCTTTAGTTGAGCCGACCCCCTCATGTTCGAGTGGTCTAGAGGCTCCAGACGGAGAGGAGACTCCCCCCGTGAGAGATGCCATCCTCCAAGAATACCTCTGCACGTACGTACACGCACACGCCGATTCTTGGCTTGAGGTCCCCTTAGGATCTCGCCGTCCCTAAACCCGGTGACACTGTAAAGGTCATCTGCGGCCATTGGTGCGCTATCAGTTATTAAGGACGACGTAAGACAAATGTTGACGAGCGACAACAAGTGCCGATAAGCGACGCTAAATGAAGTCTATACACGTTGGCGCTTCCCTTTACTCGGAAAATTAAGCAAGCAACACCGAGCGATGACAAGGCAAGATAATTAAACATGCTGTATTTACGTTGGTATTGGCCTTCGCTTGGCCAACATTGTATAGGCGGCTTTCGACTTAATAACATTCAAGTGATTGTCGCAATAGTACACTTACATTCGGCTGTATACAACATTAGTAGGTACTTTACTGGCCTTTTTGTGTGGTGGGTTTTTAATGGTAGAAAATATTTTTTTCTGTTTCAGTGACTAGTTTACCTGTACCACTAATGAATCACCTAGGCACAAACATCGTAGCATTGCCCGCTAGTACTGCTCTTCACTCATATAATATAATCAAATCAAACTTACCACTATTTTTTTTGTTTGGTGGGTTTTTCATAATATATATTTTTTTCTGTTTCGGTGACTAGTTTATCTGTACCACAAACGAATCACCGAGGCACAAACCCCATAGCATTGCCCACTAGTACTGCTCTACACTCATATATAATCAAATCAAACTTACCACTGTTTCTTTTGTTTGGTGGGTTTTTAATAAAAGAATATATATTTTCTGTTTCGGTGACTAGTTTTGCTGTACCAAAAACAAATCATCGAGGCACAAACACCATAGCATTGCCCGCTGGTACTGTTCTTCACTCATATATAATCAAATCAAACTTACCACTGTTTTCCTGATAGCTGCTCTACGTGTAGTTTATAAACATGCTAATGTGTACCCGGATTTAGCGAAACCCTTTTTCACAGAAGAGCTAATAATCATTTATTTTTTTGTATAAAATACCCGGGTGAGTAAGTACTTTTACAAAACTTGATTATTTAGCCGACTTTTATAATTGTGAGATTTGATATTAGGATCCATAGCAATGTTTGAAAATATAATACCTAGGAGTTTTATTCTCTATTGTTTTACAAAGAAAGATTAGCTGGCGAGTGGTAGCGGGCATTTGGTTCAATTAAAAAACTATAAATAAACTTGCTAATAAACACAAACTTGTTTTTAGTTATAACTTGTAAAATATAAATTTAAAGCTGCAACATTTTGTAACGTAAATAATGTAAAAGGAGTGCAAAGACGATAGTAATTATTATTTAAAGAAATTAATAAAAATAAAAGTTATATTTTAATGCAGGAACTAATACTTGGTTTCTAGCGATAATAATGGGTCAACTCAAACATCCCTGATGCCAGGAGAATTCCTCATTTTCTCAATAGAACACCCCCGAGTGAGTAATGGACTTACGCGAGCTGAGCTTATTTTGCAGGTAACACAGTCACGGTATGTGGGTAAAATAAATTACGGCGTGGCTTCCACAATTTGGCGGCAAATTCCTATGATCTTATTTAAAAAATTAAGAACTTGAAAGGAACGCTTATATTTAATTTATAGCATAAATGCATTTAAAGAAAATATAACTAGAAAAAAATCCACGCGGACCAGGCAGCAAACGGGACTCGAACCCGCACCCTTCGCAACCCGGGCGAATGCAGTGACCAATTATGCTACCACGGCCCTCACGGACCGCGGCGAAATTCTTCTAGCCATTCTTAAGCTGCAATTCAGCGCCATCTCTTCGCATTATAGGTAATCCACAATGTCAAATGAATACTTTTACAATTATTAAACATTTGAAAGAAGAAATAGCAATTTTAGTTTTAATTAGATCTAAACATCAATAATCTTTAGATTTAAACATCAAGCAGTTACATGCTTTAAAATAATAAAAATTATAACTACAGATGCATTTACTTAAGTAGGTAACACATTTTGTTACCTAGTTGAAACAACAGATAAAAGCTTAATCACGTATACAAGAGTAGTGGTTTAAAAAAAATAAACGGATTTATATCATAATATTTCATCAGAGATGGCACTGCCTTGCAACCTAAGAAATACCAGAAGGAATTCGACACGGCCATTAGGGCCGCGTTAGCATAACGATCAGTGCATCCGCCCGGATAGCGAAGGATTCGGGTTCGAGTCCCGTCTGCTGTCTGGTGTACGTGAAAGTTTTACTTGTAAAATTTTCTTTAAGATTTCTTGCATTAATAATAATGAAAGAAAAGTCAGCATATGTAACTTTAAACGTAGATTTCAAATATATCAACAATTCAACGTCATATGACTTCTGTTTTTTTTCCACTAGTGGTGCTTATGATAACAATTTTAATATGTATAACTACTGCCCTTGCTTCGCTTCGGTGTACAGCTGTAGTGTAAAAAATAGTTTTTCTTCTCAGGCTTCTATTTACGCAATGACATTGTTCATATAATTATAAACCTTCCTTGAAAATTTATTTAACTGATAATGAAAATCTTGTTGTGTAGCTTAGGACCCGTTGTACAGAATGTATTATTGCTCTGATATTAATAAAGTTTGTCTCCCTTACCATTGGTCTTTACCCTTGTTATTAAACGTATCTAGTGACGCAGTGGTTTGTACACATCCATCACTTTTATCAATCATAATTATTGTGCTCATTATAGCATTTGAAAGGTATAAAACTTGGGAACGGTCTAATCCAAAAAGTCAATTCAAAAATTTTATTCAAGACGACCGACGAATTTATTATTATCATTTTGTAGGACCAGGAGAAAAACTGGTGGAAATATTCCATTTGTGAGTTCCCGTTGCGTGCGCTGCGCGTAAACGATTTTTCTTACATAAAAATCATATATGACGGAATTGTTCCCGTTTAAAAGTTCTACAAAAAAGTCCGCGACAGCATATGCCCATCTTTATCGTAACGCAGGTGAAACCGCAACCTCTAGTTGTAACATAAGTGAAAAAGTAAGATATATGGCATCGTGGACTTTTTTTTTGTAGATATTGATGTCCTCTATAAAACTTTAGTTCACCACTTTGCAGTATTGTCAATGACTTCCGCAGCATTCGCGATATAACGTATGTTTTTTGATATTTTTACACACATTGGGTTACCTTATAGAAATTTTCATACGGAACCCTAACTTTTTTCAAATCACTCTATAGCCACTCTATATATTCATAAGGGATAATGTAGGATAATAAATGTAAAAGATTTTTTGAAATCGGTCCAGTAGTTTCGGAGGCTATTAAATACAAACAAACAATTAAATATTTGCTCTTTATAATACAGTATAGACTAACTAGTATAGTAGACTTCAGGAGCTCGATGACGCAGGTGGCTAGCGCGTTCGGCTGCGATCGTTGAAGTTAAGCAAGTTTCGCAACGGTCAGTCATTGGATGGGTGACCAAAAATCTTCTATCTCGAGTTCCTCCGTGCTTCGGAAGGCACGTTAAGCCGTTGGTCCCGGCTGCATCTGCAGTCGTTAGCACCCACCAATCTGCACTGGGCCAATCTCCCTATTCCATCCATAGGGAAGGCCTGTGCCTCAGAAGTGGGGACATTAATAGGCTGATGATGATGATGATAGACTAGCGACCGCCTGCGACTTCGTCCGCGTCAACTTAGGTTTTTAGGTATCCCACAGGACTGGAATAAAAAGTATCCTGTAGCTCAATACAGGTTATAAACTATATTATTATGCGTACCAAATTCCATCCAAATCCATTCAGTACTTTGAGTGATTGAGTAATAAACATATAACCTTTCAAATTTATAATATTATTATGACATTGGTAGCATATCAATAAAAGATCCGGTTTCGCTAAATATAAGCCGTATTACAATATGAGATTAGAATGCAGAACGTAGACATTGTGATGTTAAATGTATAAAATTTTATAGAACGAAGAACCAAACGCTTTTAGTATATTTTAATAATAATTTATTATGAAAGAAACATTAAAATAATATTTTAAATTTATTTACTTAATAAATTGCAGCATAACCAGTTCGTATGTGACGATTGTTCCCAACAGCTGAAACAAAATTAAATATTTCTTTACAAATAGCCCAATGTATTCCTAGGAGGTCAACATGAATAAGGTTAACAAAATTATTTTGTACTAGCAGCCCGTGAACCCTCCAGTAGCTCATATTCAAAAGACTGATGATTTGGACCCAACCAAAAGTCATGGCCGTTTGTTGAAATTTTGTTTTTGCTGCCCTAGACGTTCCGCCCTACATAGATGGCTCAGGTATAGTTATTCTGCCGCGCTCGAGTAAATCCAAAAATCCCCGCTTGAGCTCCCCTACTATACGTAAGCAGCCACCATAGCCTTTAGACGCTTGCTATACCAAAAATATCTGTCACACCATTGCCTACCTTGACCCAATCCCCTACCCCCGTGAAGTCTGGAACCTTGCTCATCGACAAAAACATAATACCACCAAAAGGTATTATTATTTTACTGTGATTTGTTTACCTAAATTTACCTCTCTTTTTAATATATCCATATGACATATAAATGTGTCTAATTTTACACGGCATATACGGCTATAGGCTGATACTTACAGTCAGAATCATCGTTTTGGTCACGTAGAAGAAATCCAAACCACTCAAAGCCACTTTAATGTTGTTAATTTGGCCAATAAACCTTTCCACCTGAAACAGGAACTTTCTGGGATTCAGTTTATTCGACTGAAAATGGTTTATTTGCAGTCTAATTTCCTTTTAGAAGTGAACCGCGTGCAACAAATTTTATTAATATAAAGCGAACATCGGTACGAAAAGGATTTATTATTTTTGGCTACCTATCTAGTACTTTATCACGCAGCAGAAACTTATACGCGAGATTAAAAGAAAAACGTAATAAAATATGATTACAGTATGTTTTAGTAGAGGCCACCATAATACAAAGTAATAGTTATTTATGATATAAGTGCGGTAAGTTGGTTATTACAAACGAGTAGACGAATGTAATCCTGAGACGAAATCGAGGGCGTACCCTAGTCACAAGTTTGTAAACACCAATCCGCACGAATGTCATACAATGTTTTTCAACACGTTTGCGAGAAAACAGTATCTTTACCTAATTTAAGTAAAGAAGCAAACTTTTTCTACTAAGAAAATTGCATTTTCAAATGGCGTCACGTGTGGTTGATGAAAATTAGAACTGCATCATTTATCTCTTTTTCTTCCTTGTATTAAAGTGAGATAAAGGTAACCATCAAAAGTGCTCAGAAAGGAGTCTCATCCGAATTTAAAAAAAAATATGAAAAGGATACGCACGGCGCCATCTATGGGTGCGTGTGGTAAAATGTTTTCCTGCACGATCCGTTGTAAGGCTTGTAATTTTGGACTTTCGCACTATATATACAACCTCCGTAAATGCATTTTTTGAGCAAAATTGTGTTGCAAAGTTTAATTTACGGAATAAACCTTTTATATCAGGCTTTTGCACTTGATGCCTAATCAATACTATTAATATAATTATTATAAAGCTGAAGAGTTTGTTTGTTTGGTTGAACACGCTAATCACAGGAACTACTTGTTCGATTTGAAAAAAATATTTTGAGTTAGATACTGCATTTATCGAGACAGAATGTAGGCTATATAACATCAAGCTACCAGTATGAGCGGAGCATTGATGAAAAATGCTGCAAAAATGGGGAAAAAATATTCCATTTGTAAGCTTCGGTTGCGTGCGCCACGTAAACAGTTAAAGTTACACAAAAATCATATATGACGGAATTGTTCCCCTTTAGAAGTTCTATAAAAAAGTCCGCGGCGGTATATGTCCATATTTTAAGTTTGACTTACTTTTAACTTTTTCCTCATTAATCACATTCATCGACTGACACGAAGTTCGTCGGGTCAGCTAGTATAACATAATAATGAAAGAATAATAGCAGTTTATTTCTCAAATTGTGATTAATTCACCCGCGGTATCAATCACATAACTTACTTTGTGCACCTGCTTGATTTTCGTGATGTTTTGCATTCTTATGTCTATTTGTCTCATTTTTATTCCTTCTTCGATCTCTTTTATTTGACACTAGGGAAAGGGATTTTCTAAGTACACATATTGACACTCGTGTTACCTTTGTCAAAATATAGACAGTAGCCTCAGCTCACGCCATCTTCGAAATAATCACCTAAATTACCTAAGAACGCGCCTAGAAAATCGTGCCTAAAAATTCAATAGTCGGTACACGTTAAAAGTTACTCACCTCGATATTGAACCTGGAATTGGGTATACGGTACAACAGAATCAAGGGTACAGTGGACGCCGAGTGCACCCTGGCGGCCAGCAGTAGAACTAGCATCGTACGAACCACCAGAAACGCGAACGAGTAAGTATAGTAGATTGTGTGCTCAATGCCGTGGACAATACTGAAAATATATTAAAGAAAACAACAAAAAAACAATACAGCAAGAGTTATGAAAGTGAAACTTTTTACATTTTAAATTGTTATAAAAAATCAGACCTTATCAACAAGCATCGGTGGTTCAGTGTTAGAAAACTCTCCTCCTAAGTGAGCGTTCCGGGTTCGAATCCCAGCCGAGGAATAACTTTTTGTTTATCTTCCTCTTTTTATAAGCCAAAAAAAAGTTGAGGCAATGTATGATGTAATGATGTATGAAAACCCTGTAAAAGTGTCATTTGCAACGTGTTTTCTTTATTATAACAAAGCAAGGTTTGCTGCAAGGTTATGTAAAGTTATTGGTACTTTACTTATACCAGTTAAAGCACACTAATTTTTGTTTGTGCATTCAAACCTCATTCCTAAAGGAGAATGACAGATTTTCACAGAAAGTTAGGCCATGAAGTTTATACCAAACAAAAGGAAAATAGCTTATATTAAGTAGGGAAAATTTCGTCACATTATGCTATAGAAGTTAAGAAAAATCGTATCATAAAGTAGTAAATTGGGATTATAATAATTAACCACAATATTTGTTGTATTATTAATAGCTGTCATAAAATGGTACATTTTTTCCATACGTAAAGACAAAGGGAACAAAAAGCGTATACAGCCTAACTGTTCAAACTGTTCAAATGTTCACATCACTGATTACGTTATACTAGTCAAGTTGACACCATCGACGAAGCATTTAGGCGTAGCTTACCCTGACTCTATCCTCGAACCCCTCGAGCTCTTGAAATCTTATTCTATAGTAAATATTATAAATAATAGATTATTTTATAATCCACTCAGACGGGATTCGAACCGTATCTTCCGCTATCCGGGTTACCTACAATGCGAATAGATTGACTTAGACCGCCTACGTTGCGGTCCAAGAGATACTAAAGGAGGTTCTACACGACCATTAAGGTAACGGTAGCATAACCGGTTAGTCCACAAGGGTATCTTATCCCGTCTGGAACCTGAATCGAGAATATTTTTTAATAGTTAAGCAATTTAACTGCAGAATGATTTTTTTAATCTTAAGTAAATTTTACTATATATAATCCACTCAGTCGGGATTCGAACCCGCATCTCCCGCTATTCGGGTTACCTACAATGCGAATAGATTGACTTAAGTCCTCTACGCACTATCCATCTTGCTGGATCCAGCATGTGGGACAGCGCTATACACGTAAAAGAGATGGAGATACAGGTTCCCTTTTACGCGTATAGCGCTGTCCCGCATGCTGGATCCAGCAAGATGGATAGTGCGTAGAGGACTTTAGACCACCTGCGTTGCGGTCCAAGAGATACTTAAGGAGGTTCTACATGACCATTAATTATCACTAGCATAATTGGTTAGTCCACCCGGATATCTTATCCCGTCTGGAACCTGAATGGAGAAGATTTTTTAATAGTAAAATTTTCTTTAGGTATATTCGTAATAAACAGTTTTCCTTTACCTACAGTCTTCTGTAAGGTAACAGGCTCTCAAAATCAAGCTGAAAATATGCGAATTGGTACCTCTGTTAGCAGTTAAAACTGTAATCAAAATTAATATGGTCACTTACTTGGAGCCTTGGTTTTTGATTAAACATGATACAAAATGGCCGGTGTTGTTTTTACTGAAAAGCAAAGCAGGTTCTCAAAAAAAAGTTCACTATGTAATTAATAATAAATAAACTGGCAGGGGTAACTTGTTTCTGCCAAATAAATTTTGGACAATCTTTCCGAATATTCTGTTTCCGAGTCGTCAAAAATTCAAATCGTAAAAAGTAGTTCAGCGTGTTTTAAATCTTTTGCTCTAAAAACCATTTTTGTACTGTAACATGTCCATAGCGAATTTATGGCACTGTCTCAATGGATGGGTATCATAAAAATATTTTTATAGAGTTTCAAGGAAGTTTTGAAATAAGAAAGAATTAAAATGTTTGATAGATTTCTGGAATAATTACTTGAATTAAAAGAACTACCAAAATGTTACTATTCTTAATTCCTCCCTCTTTCAGGCTGCCTCTTCAGCCGTTAGCACCCACCAAATCTCTCTAGTCCAAGTGGTGTTTATAACCCCATTAGTTTAGTAGTAGGGAAGCGCTAGAGAGATTTTTAAATGTTACTCGAGCGCGGCAGAATACCATAGGGGAGGCAACCTTACACCCTATGAAGAACTCCCACCAAATATGAGCCCTTTATAATAATATGAGGTAGAACGTCCAGGGCTGTAAAAAAAAACAACGAACTGACCGACTTTTGGTCGCGTCCAAATCGTAAGTCTTTTGAAAAGGAGCTACGGAGGGTTCTCTTAACATCACATCCCAACACCCATTAGCGTCTGATGCGCTTTAATTATTTTTTTCCTATTCAATACAGATTAATATTTTCTCCGTCATTAGAAACGTTACGTGAACCCACTACTATTAGCTTCTATTCAAAAGACTGACGATTTGGACGCGGCCAAAAGTCATGGCCCTATATAAAAGTCTAAGGTATAGTGGGAGTAATTCACAGGGTGCAAGCTTTCCCCTCTTATATTAGGTATTCTGCCGTACTCGAGTAAATCTCAAAATTCCTTAGGGCTGGAAACATTTGGGGTACTATAATGGAATTCTTTGCCCCAGCAGTGGCAGCATCAGTGTGCTGATATACAATTGAAGAAATAATTGCCACTTTACCTCATGCTGAAATATAGCTGCGTACAAATCCAATATAGGTTACTTCCAAAACAATTGAGTATGTAGATACCAATAGTTTCATTGATCAACTTTACAAGCCTTATTAAGAGCATATGTTGTACACGAAATTCATCGCAGTTAAATAGCTCCTGAAATTGTGAATTTTTATTAAAAATACAGGTACAGTCATTATTCTGTTAGAAAGCAACGAGAAAATTTAAGAAAAAATACAACTTTTAATATATTATTGAAGTGATTATTGTAATTAAACAAAATCTATCTGTACAAAATTACGTACGTAGTACAACAAATTCCAAAAAACAAAATACAAATTTTTGGAAAATTAATACATAAAACATTATTGTAAAAATGTACAGAAAAATCACTATCCACGTGTAGAAAATATCTTCTACGCGGCACGTGTAGAATCATTCATTCATTCGTGTAGAATCAAACAATCATTAACTTCCACGAAAAGCTGATAATTAAATGAACAAACATTTATTCGAATTTGATGAAAGTTAAGCTAAAATCAGCATTTAACCTATAAACGTATTCTTAATTCGAATGAACTCAATTTAAATTAGGATCTGAGGCCCACCAGGAGCAAATTAATCTCGATTCAACTAAAACTAGCTATAGAAAAATGTAAAAACATCAATGTCAATTTGGCATTATTGTATGGGATTTCTTTTTCCTTGTCGCTAACTTCATTTCTGAAGGTCGTGTCTAACTTGGTATGTTGACCACCCGACGCACTAATGCTTCTCCACATATTCCTGTCCTCGGCAGTCTTTATAGCCTTTATTATTGATAAGCCAGTGAGCGACTTTAGGAGACACTCTCGCTCCGACCGCGGACCGTGCGCCACGTCGCACCGCCGCCTCCCTGCTCCGTGCGCCCCGCCGCACAGCTGCCTGCTTCGAGTCGACTCGACGCGCCTGCGCTCATTCGTGAGACCCAAGATTGGACCAGTGGATACCTAGCGGTGTTAACGAAACTGGTCGGCGTAGCCCCGGTACGTCTCGAGCTCTCCTGAGCTCGGAAACCGGAAGACCCGATCCCATTTGCACTTGGGCCTTCCCAAGGGTGACGGTTGTTCCCATATTCACTAGGAATATCGGAACACATCTCTTTCAGCCTCAACCGACCCCCTGCCGCGGGCAGGGGAGTCCACCGCTGTCGTATAGGGTGTTAGGACCTGCGGCTTCACGCCACAGTCAGGGCACTCACATACACACATCACATACACACCAACTCGACACACTACACTAAACTTAACATGGACATCACACAACAAGTACTGTCCCTCTTCTCCGCCCTCGGCCTCACCCTGGATGAGGCCGCCATCAGGGAGCTCGTCGCGAGAGCGCGCCCCATGCGCGACTCGCCCGCCAGCCCCTCCCCCGAGCCCCCCCGCCCCGACACCCCCTGCCTCCCCGGGCCCTCGAGCGCGGGCAAGCGCCCCGCCTCGAGCCCGGTCTCGACCTGCGACTCCGACTCGACCATTGTGTCGGCGTCAGACGACTCTGTGTTCACCACTGTGGTGAGCAAGAAGAAGCGGCGCTCCAAGCGCCGCGCAGACACCGCGTCTCCAACGGCGCCTTCTCTCTCTGTCCCTCTCAGCCCTCTCACCCCTCTCGCGGTCGCCCAACCGACCACACAAACCCACACAACATCACACAACACTACAAAACCACACAATAGGTGCACCGCCGCACCTATCAAGGCAAAGCCGCCGCCGCCCGTCTTCCTGCGCGATAAGGCGCAATGGGCAAAGGTCGCGGACCTTTGCAAAGCTCAGAACATAAATTACACACAGGCGTCGAACACTGGTCACGCCATTAAAATCACCACACCCACAATCGACACATTTAGGAGCCTCACAAGGCTACTAACCACTCACACAATCCCTTACCACACATACGCCCTCCCCGAGGAGCGCAAAGTCCGCGCGGTACTCAGAGGAGTCCCCTTCGAGCTCTCCAACGAGCTCATTCTAAACGACCTAACCGATCAAGGCTTCCCAGCCGAGGCAGTGCACAAGTTGCACAGCCGGACTGGGAAGCAATACCCGTTGGCTCTTGTCATTTTGACCTCGGTCCCGGCAGCTAGGGACATTTTCAAAGGTCCCATTACAGTCTGTGGCCTCGACAATATCAAAGTCGAGGCCCCACACCGGCGAGGCACCCCTGGGCAATGCCACAGGTGCCAATTATATGGCCACGCAGCAGCCAACTGCTCGGCGGCCCCGAGGTGCGTCAAGTGCCTCGTACCCCACCTCACCAAGGAGTGCACCCGCACTCGTGACGCACCCGGGGCACCCGCATGCGTGCTCTGTGGCCAAGAAGGCCACCCGGCCAATTACAGGGGTTGCCCGCGGGCCCCACGCCCCAGGCCCAACACTCACACTCACACACACACAAAGCCAACCACGGCGACAAAAATACACCCACCACCACCTAATAACACCACCACAAACTTCCCGGGGCTACCCAAGGCGGCCGCCCCTCGCAGCCCGGCGCCCCCGACAGCCTGGGGACCAGCCAGGGCCCGCCCAAAACCACACCCACCACAACACACCACACCAACAACACAAGCTAAGCCAGCCCAAGACGTCTCTCTGGCCGAGGACATGGCGCTTATTCGCTCCTCGCTCAAGAGGGTGAATATCGCCGAGATCCACACTCTCGCCGCGAAGCTCCGGCTAGCAAAGACACCCCTTGAAAAGGCTATAGCTATAGCCGAACACCCCGAACTCGTTGCCGCGTTCGATTAATTTTTCAATCATTACAACACTGGAAAATAACCAGACTCCGAACACAAACAAAAACACTATACACAAAACACGCGGTGATAACTCAAACAAACACCACTGTTGTTTAAATTATGACCGCGCAAAACACTAACATTACAATCACTCAACAAAACCCCGGGCGTACCAAGCCGAAAGGCGCTTCGCTTGTGTCATTTAATACGCGCAGCTTAAAGTCCAACCTTAACGAAATTAAATTATTTTTGCAAGATAGGGAACCCGACTTTCTGCTCCTTCAGGAGACTTGGCTCAAACCAACTCAAATGAAGGGGCTGTCGATCCCTAAGTATAAATTAATCCGGAACGACGGTGCCAACGCGCGCGGCGGCACCGCAATTTACTATAGACGCAATTTACACTGCACACCTATACCCACTCCCGCGCTCACAAACATGGAAGCCACCATCTGTAGGCTGGCGATGACAGGACACCAGTCCTTAATCATCGCCTCAGTCTACATTAGATCAGGTACACACCCTCACCGCGCAGACTTCGAAACACTCACTTCATTAGGTACATCAGTCATAATGTTCGGTGACTTTAACTCCAAACACACCGACTGGACATGCGAGACCACCACCACCTCTGGCCGCAGATTACTACACATCACCGAGGAGCTTGGCTATGATGTCATATGTCCCTACGCGCCCACCCACTACCCAGACAATGTACAAAACCGACCCGACGTCCTGGACTTCGCGATCCTTAAAAACGTGTCGCTTCGCCTCAGCTCGATCGAAACGCTCGACGACCTGGGGTCAGATCACAGACCGGTGTCTCTAGTTCTAGGTCCCCAAGACCCACTAGACGCCCCCGCGCCCCCTAAGAGGCTATTCACCAACTGGGACGGATACCGCTCCGCTCTCGAGACCGCTTTAGACTCCCCCGAGTCCCCGTTCCCTAACTCACCGGACAGTCTCGACAGCACCGACAAGATTGACGAAACTATAGAGTCTTTAACTTTACTGGTGACCGAGAAGGCGAAGGAGAACTCGCGGGAGGTTGAGCTGCCAAAGCCCAAGCTCCCGCTGGCCATCCGGAACCTAATCCAAGCCAAAAACGCCGCTCTCCGGAGAGCCAAATTATACCCCACCCCCGAGTATAGGGCTACAGCTAATCGCCTTCAGCGACAAGTTAGGTCCCAATTAGCCGCTCTGAGACACTCCCGTTGGGAGGAACTCATGGCGGACATTACCCCATCCCATCTTGCGTACTATAGAATCGCGAAAGCGCTCCGTAGCGACGTCACCACTCACACCCCCCCGCTCACTCGCCCCGACGGCACCGTCGCCTTCGAAGACGACGAAAAATCTGAGTGTTTTGCAGACAGCATAGCGGCGCAATGCACGCCTAGTACGCAGGAAACTAACCCGCAACATATTCGCGGAGTGGAGGAGGAGGTCCGCCGGCGGGCCGCCCTTCCACTCATTGACAACCCCCTAGACCCCGTCACGACAGACGAACTCAGACAGACCATTAGAAACTTTAAGCAACGCAAGGCCCCGGGCGCCGACGGCATCTCTAACAAGGCGCTCAAGCATTTTCCCATCCAAATGCTAACCTTGCTTGCAATTCTCTTTAACGCATGTTTTGATCTGTGCTACTTCCCAGCCGCCTGGAAAGAAGCAATAGTGATAGGCATCCCCAAACCCGGAAAACCCGCGCACCTCCCCAGTAGCCATCGCCCTATTAGCCTCCTCAAGGCAATGGCGAAACTTTTCGAAAAACCATACTGACCAGACTAAGAGAGCACCTCCTATCACCATCCGATCCTATTATCATTGACCACCAATTCGGCTTCAGAGCCAAACACTCCTGCCCCCAACAGATCCATCGCATAGTGGAGCACGCCCTAAGCGGCTTCCAACTTAATAAATATAAAACTATTGCAGTCCTCTTCGACGTCGCCAAAGCCTTCGACAAGGTTTGGCACGACGGATTAATCTTTAAATTATATCAATTAGAGTTACCTGACCGCCTAGTTAGGTTAGTAGCCTCTTTTCTATCAAACCGCACCTTCCGCTATAGATACGAAGGTTCACTATCAACACCCCGCCCACTACGAGCCGGTGTACCGCAGGGGTCCGCTCTCTCCCCCCTGCTATACACAGCGTACACCAATGACATCCCTCAGACCAAGGGTGTCGAGCTCGCTCTCTTCGCGGACGACACGGCCCTCTACTCTAGGGGAGCCAGTACCAATCAAATCATAGCCAAGCTCCAACCGGCAATCACAACACTTGGGAATTGGTTCCGCGATTGGAGAATCGACGTAAATCCGGACAAAAGTTCGGCCATTTGCTTCGATCCCAAGCGCCGCACCAAAACCATACAACACGGTGCGCGGTCTCTGCGAATGCAAGGCATAGCAATACCGTGGCACCGCACAGTCAAATACCTAGGGATCACACTAGACAAAAAACTCACCTTCCGTGCACACATCACACGCGTAGTCGCGAACGCGCGCTTTTATATGAGCCGCCTCCACCCGATGCTCGGTAAATACAGCAAAATGTCACTTCGTAACAAGCGAACGCTTTACAAAGTTTGCATACGCCCGGTCCTCACTTACGCGTCACCAGTGTTCGCACACGCGGACGAAGCGATTTTGAACAAACTTCAAGTGCTTCAAAATCGCTTCTGCCGCATAGCCACAGGGGCCCCGTGGTACGTCCGCAACGCGGACCTCCACAGGGACCTACAACTCGACACAATTCAAACACACCTCACAGAGTGCTCGGAACGGTTCTTCAAAGCTGCAGAAGAGCACTCTAACACACTCATTAGATCGGCGTCGGGATACGCTCCACACACTCCATCTCGATTCAGGCCCCGCAGGCCCAAACACGCACTCACAGCCACACACAATAAACTCACGCGCGATCTCGCGGCCCTCTTGGCCGCTGAGGATCCAACACCCGCGGTGAGTCCCCCCCGCCCCCCCGACACAGAGAGGTTCGATTCCTCTCAGTCCCCTCCCGTTTCAAGTGCACATCTGAGTGCACTTGTCCTCTAAGCGCATTTTGCGTTATTTTAAACTATGCACTAGTTTAAACTAACGCAGCGCCGCATCATCCCCCTCTCGGGGGGTGATCGCTTCAGATGAAGCTTGTAAGGCCCTTCTGGCCATAAGCATGAATAAAGGGTGTTTTTTAGTCAGTAGGAGTCTGACATAACCTTACAGCCGGCTGTAGGGTATCCATGAGGATTTCTCACCCTCTCCCCCGCCTGGGAGGAAACAAAAAAAAAAAAAAAGAGCGACTTTACTAGGTCTGACCAGCGGGTAGGAAAACGACCGCGTGATCTTCTTCTGTCGACCTGGCCAAGTACCATCAGCTTTTCTAGGCTATCTGGGTTTCTGCGAGCGATGTGTCTGAAATATTTGAGTATGGGCTGGTAACAGATAGTGTGACAACTTTGTGATGATGCCGAGTTCCTCAAGTATGGACACGTTGGTCCGGCTTGCAGTCCATGGAATTCTTAACATCCGCCTCCAACACCACATGTCAAAAGATTCGATCCTTGCTCTTTTGCTCTGTCTTATAGTGCATGATTCAGCGCCACAATAAAAATCGAGAAGACCAACGTGCGCTCCAGCCACCCTTTGGTTTTGCGGGATATGTTGCGATCTTTCCATATTCTAGTGAGTTAAGTCATCACTGCTTTGGACATTTAGATTCTTCTATATATCTATGGCTCGCTACCACCCACGTTGCTTTGAAGAGAGCCAAGGTGTACAAAATGGTCAACAAATCTCGGAGTTTATTGGAGCAAATTAGTGTACCAGGTCTGTCTACCAAGAACACCTTGGTCTTCACCTTATTTATGGTGAGGCCAACTAATTCACTCTCTCTGTCCACTCTAGAAATGAGTTCGGCTATATATGAATCCTTCTCTCAATGGTGTACGTGTACACTAACAGCCAGTGTTCCTCAGGGCGGTGTACAATCTCCTTTTCTTTTTGCTATTTTCATCAATTCCTCTACTCTTAAGTTGACTTCTACCTGTCATCGGTATGCAGACGATCTCCAGATTTATACACAGGCTCGATTAGAAAATTTTAACAGTGCCATTAATAATCTAAATACAGCCGTAGCATTTATAACAGAATGGAGAAACTCATTTGAACTAAAAATTAATCCAACAAAAGGCTACCATTAACAGTACACTATTTACTTCATATAACGGATTGACTATAAGAAAAACAATTGAAATAAGGCAAAGTCATTAAAATACGGGTGGTAAATACACTACCTAAATGACAGTAACATTCAATAAATAGGTAGATACTAGTTTTTAGCAGTATTTTGTGAAAAAAAAATGTTTTTTTGGTTCAAATACTTCATAATTAAGGGTTACATTGATTATACTTACATGTTGTGCAGCTTCTTTCATTAGCTTATTGTGCAATTTAAAATGTTCAGTGACGTAAATGCTGATAACCATTATTAGTAAGTCACTGTAGCTCCAAATGAAAGTAGATTGAATATTGAACACCTACAAAAGTAAGAAACAAATTAACTTATCATACTACCTGAGTAAGTAATGCCGCCTAGTTTCATCCATAGTTAAATTTGACTAATTTGACTATAATTAAAATACAAGAGAAAAAATAAACTTAAGTCAACATTTGACATATTTACTATGTATTTGATGTGACGTTAACCATTGTTCAATTTTACCATCGATGACACAACGCGGCCTAAGTAATGCATAGTATCGACCTGCATAGTCGAGTCAGTTTTATCACACAAACATCAGTTTTATGGTGTTTTTCATAGGTTCATGATCAAATCGATATCGTGTTATCTCTTATATTTGATTCAATTATTTATTATACCTACATATAATTTTATAAAGATAAATTGAAGTTCCGCAAAAATCATAGGGATTTTGCTTGGCAACTTTCGCAATGGCCGGTAATTAGATGGGTGACCAAAAACTTATGATGTCGATCTTCTCCGCGCTTTGAAGGGCACGTTGGTTTCAGCTGCATCTGCCGTCGTTAACATACACAGATCCTCACTGGTCGAGCGTGGTGAGTCATGTGCCATTTTATCTATGTCATCCATAGGGAAGGATTGTGCCCCAGTAGGGGAGACATGAATAGGTTGATGATGACGATGATGATAAAATAGACAGGCATTACAGTGCACACTGACTTACCTCAATTAAAATCCCCTTCCATAAACTATACCTAGTGTACGTAAAAATCCATGGTTTATCGTAACGAAAAAATGTCTCCGCAATATTTTTTGAGTCGCAAGCTGTGGCTACTGTTACTCCATACAGAATTGAAAGCAAATGTTCCACTGAAAGATTTTTAAAAAAAAGTAGAGAAACGCTATGTATACTACCACTACTATACAAAACAATATAAATATATATTGAATATTTATTTTATTTTTGTAAGTATATACGAGTATATAGTAGTAGGTAATGTGTGTATATATGTATAAATATATTTTTTGTCGTCTATGTGTTTGTAAATATGTATGTTTGAATGTACATGAATTAGCTATCATAGTAGTATTTGTATGGTTTTGATATTTTTTTTCTCTTATTTACTTAGCCGTCGTATTTTTTTCTCCGCTTAGCCCGATGGTTGACTGGAAAGGTATGCCTTATGGCATTAAGTCCGCCATTTGTTAAATGACAATGAATTATAAATAAATAAATACCTATAAAAGCTTTTGTTGACAAGCGTTCAATCTAGCTTACGTTCCAGGGTAATGAGTAAGATATTGTATCGAGTTATAAATGATCCTCAAATATTATTGTATTTTGTGTACTAATAACTACTAGTAAATAGCAATATTTTCTTAGTTCTTATTTGTGCTGCAATTTCCTGCTATGAATTAAAGCACTCCGGTCTCTTAGCTACTTACATAAGGCTGTCAAACCAGTGTGAAGATGTTGTAATATTAGCAGTATGATAAAAAAAAACATAAAAAAAACTCACTTGTGGAACATTCTGGTGTAACTAGGAGTCAGAAGAGAAATCGAATACCGTTTTAGTGAAATGTTGATACCGGATTCCTGAATATTTTTATTTAATGAATAACTTTAATCCGCATTATAACGGAGTGATTACTTGCTCAGTGATCCTCATCAGAAAATCAAACTAGCACAATTGTTGTAGAACTAATCGAAAATAATGAGGTTTTTGGAGTTTACACCTTAAGAATCGATTTGCATATATAAGGGGCCCGATATGAGAAAAATGTGAGGAGTAAAATCTATCGATGAATGACATTACTGACCTCGTTACGTTTTTGTGCGCAACCTCATCTGCGCACCTTTCACTTTTAGCCATGGCAACGGATAAAAAACATTAAGTTGTCACAAATGTCAATAAAATAAATAAACTAAAAAGAGCAAAATTAATGAAAACAAATAAATAACAGAATATAGAGAAATGCCGGTAAGTGTCGGTTTTCAGTACAGATGGAATTATAATACATATTTACAAAATGATGACTAGTGTGTGATATTTTTGAAATTGTGTGTTTCCAGAAATACATAATAAAATATATGATGAATATCGCTAATGTTAGATGATAAAATGTGTGACATGGAACCTATGATAGTCGAAACCATGGGACGATTCCTGAGGTATCTCTTCTTGTAACCGAATTCTTCGAACTTGATTTTGTTTTGTGTCTGTTCAAAGACAATCGTTTTTAGAGTGTAAACTCCAGTCGTGCGTCGGAGCTGACACACACAATTTTTATTCACACTTAACTTTATTACTTGTTCTTATATTAATATTGGTCTTTTAATAAAAAGAATTATACTGTAGCTTGGATTAAAAATGTGACCTTAGAAAAATAGTGTAAAGCGCAGCGCACACCTGAAGAAGCACGGCGGAGATACGGAGAAGTTAACAATTTAGGTAAAACCTTCTTATATCATAAGTGTTTAAATTTTAATGTCATACATGGAATAATTCACAAGCGCTGCGAAGCGGCCACGAGAACTTGCGAGCGTTTTTTTTTGTGTGTGTCTCAAAGTCGCCGCGCACCGCTCCGTGGCTTTTAATATCTTCGCCGCGTCTCTGAGGATGTGCGCTGCTCCCAATACTTACCCAGAGCAGCAAAAAGTATTGACGACATAGTAATATTGCAGAGCTTAATGACATGATTCGACAACGGTGGAAGTTTCTGCTCAATGGATTCCACCTTCGCTACCAAACGTGGCCATCGTTGGCAGACAGTGGCTAATATGAAGAGCGATACTGACCCTGACGTGTAAAATAAGAAGTTTGCTGAAAACAATCGTAAAGATAAATTATTTAACTACCTATAGTTTTCGAATTACATGAGACTAAACACTGCGAACTTTGAGTTACCCGAGAACAACTGAGAAGCCTTAAAAATAGTGAGACAGTTATAAACAGTTAACTTACTACAGCCCCATACAAAAATATTGATTTATATCGTTCATTTACATTTGTAAATAACATACCTGATTTGAATTTATTATCCGTTTAAAGTACTTTGATCCTAAAAGTAGATTTATTGAAATCAATTTATGACAATTAAAATGCTAAGATCTCATATTTCAAAAAAATAATAAAGGAAAAAAGTACGCTAAAATAACTTTAATCGTTGTCTGAATTAGCTGATAAAGTTTTCCAGGTAAGTCAAAATTCACGGTGTACACGCTAGATCACTGAGCGATCGAATTAACCAAGACCGCACTGATAAGAGTCACACTGAAAGCGACACGTGCCAAGGTTGGTGACTCGCTTAATTTCTTGTCTTTATGTAATAGAACCTTTCTGTCGTATATTTATGAAATAAAAGTAGATGATGCAACAATAATTTAAATAATACATTATTAATTGAAATCTTAAAATGATTGGACTTAAACGATATATAAAACAAATTACTGTTGGTCTTTGAATATTATATTTAGCAGTATATAAAAATAAAGAAAAACATAGAGAGATACTTTTATTCAAAAGTAAGTGAACATTAGTACCTACAAATAAATATTATTATTATAATAATAAGTATTTATTTGCTCCAAAAACCACATATACAAATACAGAAAACTTAAAATCTGACATACTAACTTTTTTGGGTACGAAAGGGAATGTGACTCAGCCTTAGACCGCCGTATTACCGGAAGTCGCTGATATTCTGCCACAACCTAATTTAACTAATACATGCTCCATTTTGTGATACCAACAAGTAAAACTTATCGTCTGCAACAGCTATTTAGTCTAACGTACTTACTCATATTTGTTAGTGAAATTTGGTTTTCAAGGACCCAATAGAAACTCATGATGAACATAAGTATTTGACCAACGCTGCTGACGAAGTATAATATTGTGTAGAATGATAAAAACTGAAACCTGACAAAGAAAGATTATTGAAGTTTAAGCTTTAAAATAATTATTCCTTTTTTAGTCTCCAATGATTTTGTAAACAGACTTGAAATGCCAATTTGACAATTCTTTAATACCTAAATTCTTCCAATTCATTACTCACCTCAATTCGTAACTACGTGTATTCATCAAACCCGTTAAAGGTACAACTCCCATCATACGTCCACAGAATAACGTTAGGCGTAATGCTGAATGTAGACCGTTGAGCTCCGTTTTAGTCAACTGGAGTTTGTTTTCTAAATTAATTAAGCTTTTACGTCGCAAATGGAACATTCCCAGGATTAGAGTTTTCATTGTAAAATCATAGATTTGATATTTTCGGAGTATCTATTCAGTACTTAATTATTCTCCACTTAAAAAAATCGGTTTTGACGAATCCTACAAAAATGGAATGCTGGTGAAAGTATTTTAGCAGTAAAGATTTGACAAGAGGTATTTGAGACTTTATCCTACTAATATTGTAAATGTGAAAAAATGATTTTTTGTGTTCGTATGTTTGATAATCAAATTCTTTGCAGTTACTTGTACGCCATTCTTCACATACTTAAAAAGATTTCTTTTAACTATTAAAACGTATTACTAGCATTCTCGTATTAGTAGCATCTGATTGATTACCTTAAAACTTTTAAAGGCATAGATACTCCAAACATGCAACAACTCAATTTAATCTAGCTACACAATCATTTTTTCTACTTAAGAGAATAACATTGTAAATGTATTTTATCTGCATGAGATAAAGATAACCTAAACCCGTTGACAGTATATTAAAATCTTACAAAAAACCAAAGCTTGAAATAGACTTGAAATAGAACTGTACTCTCCAGTCACCACTGTCCACTGAACATTTGAAAATATTATTTTGGGCTATCCTAGTGAATATCTATCGACTAGATGTTATTAAAACGACCACTGTCAACACCTCAAACATAACAAAAACACGGGTCGACTGCAACTTTGCGGTAACAACACTCTACACCTGTTGTTGGTTTAAGCTGTGTTTGTAGTATCAGTAAACAAGAACGAATATCCTTCGTTAGACGTTTGGAACTGTGAAAATATTTGTCTTATGGATGTGAAACATTATAGGGTTTGTATCCTTTAACGACACTCGAGTATGTCTTATTAGCAACCTTTATAACGGTTGCAATTAAAATACTGATCGGGAAGAGAAAAACATGGAACACCATTTAAGATGTATAAGACGATTTGGGAAATGGGTTTTATTAATGTTAATGACATAGAGGTATCCGATTTCAGTCTGTGAATGGGGAGATTTGATGAGCAAAGGTGTGCGCTCCGTTTGTAAATAAAAGCTATTCTGCAGCATATAAGATTCGCAGAACACGTTTACAAGTGGCCAATTTTTTATTAGTGTTAATAATTAAGTATTCAATTTAATATAAACTTCAAAATCCGTGTAACAAATATTTGATTCATTGTATGGGAATGACAAAAATAGGCCAAACTTATTAGAAAACGAAATACGTAATCAGGTAAAAATACACAAAAAAAGTTAAATCATAAATAGGCTGACTCAGAAGATTTTCGGTCCTATTCCATGTTAATACTGGACGAGGTAAATCCAATTCATTTTAAAAGAGATAGGGTTCAGTAGATTCAAAATAATACTAGATACCTTTTGATGCTGAACAAAGTGCAGGGTCAGGGCCAGCATGATGATAATGTTCAATTTCCTAATGGTATCAGAATTAATTTATGTCTCCCATTTATAAAAAAAGCTTTTAATTTTTATACCTGGTGATAATTACTTACAATATAATAAGATTTATTTTTATTGTAAGTCTTATAAGTCTTTCCTTCATCTTGATAATGAGCTGTATTATACCATAAGCGTTATAGGTATAGCGTAGCAGGACGATTATTTTTATTTTCAAATGGACAGTTAACAACTAGTGCCGTCCATTATTTTCTTTTACTTACTTTATGATATTTTTCATATCAACCTTTTCTTATGTGGCTCATGTTCATTTATTGATGTGCGTGTGTGCTCCAAAGCGAAAATGCCTTTTTAAAAATTGCTCCGTAAGAGGCTTCCAAATAATTTATTTCGTTCGAGCCTGGAATTTTAAATCACAACCGACTTATCTCATGGATTCAGTCGGCACTTAATAACGTACTTTACAAGACTCTTTGCGGGTTCACCGAATCATTCTTGAGGAGGAATGGAATCCTACCTTTTTTATAATGTTCACTCAGCCAGTTTCGTTTGCGACAGTATAATATTTAATTTATAACGAAAGTTATATCATCATTTGTTTCTTAATTTAAAAAGAATTCTACTAACCTAAGCTTTACTACCAAGTTTTGTACAGTTCAACGGCATCAATTGAAATCTCATGGTCTTCCTGTATTTTTTTGCAAAGAACAGGATGCGGGCTTCGCCGGGAGCACAACATCCCTTTAATTATAGTCCACGGGGCTTTGTTTCTACGATCTTGACGGAAACTCTTTTCGTGACAAACCTCTTTGTTTGAATGTTCGTTTTTTTTTTTAAATGGTCGCTTGGATACCTTAGAAGCGGGAAGTAAATCTTGACCTGTACCTACCCTGCAGATTTCGTAATGAACAATGTCGTAAACTATTTACATAATTATTATTTATCAACATCGATCTCAATCCATCCTGGCAATATAATTATGTCATTTTGTAAGAACATAAAGTTTGTTTTCTTTACACACACCAATTAGCCTAGCTCCAAAGTAAGCACTATAAGGCTTGTGTTATGGGATACTAGGGTAATGGATAGAATACATGTAGTGTACATATATAAGTATATTTATTTAGAAATACATATTAAACATCCATGACTGGAGTACAAATGCACGTATTCATCACACAAACATCTGCCCCCACCGGGATTCAAACACGGGACCTTTCGAGTCGACACCATGAAACCCGGCGTACAAACCGACTCGGCCACGGAGGTCGTCAGTTCAGGGTGTTCGAAATAATTAATCAGCGTAAGTTAAATTTATTATCATCATAATGTTTATTTGTACTCATTTCTATTCATATATATTCACCGTAATCTCCTAGGAAAACTTTGGACGCCTGTATAATAATGAAACTCCAGAAATCCTGATATCCAATTTCATTGTGACAGATTGATCGATAGTAACATTCACAAGTTTGCCAAAGCAGTTTTGTAATGCGAAACCTATTGTCAGAAATTTTGTGTTTCGATTAAATTTTATGTTTAAATACGTCAATCTCAGGAATGCTGTGATTTTGTTCAGAGGTAGGTAAGTAATTACTCCATAGGTTAAAGAGACAAACACAATATTTTATGAGTTACGATACCGCGTCTAAAGGATTGAAAACATGCTGCTTACATATAGCTACCCATCAACCAATCCGTAAAGGATCTACAACTTCTTTTTATTTATTTGTATCCATATGAGAGACATGTACTTGTTTAGCAATGGAGAAATTAATAGGGTGCTAGGATAACGGAGATTTTGTAATAAGTCTTTTTGTTTAATACCTTATTGTTCCTATTCAAATTTAGGTTGGTAGGTCCTTAATGATTTCTGTATGTAGGTACAATATCACACCCACCTGTTCGTTGAAAGAAACAATACTAAAATGAGTCCTAGTTCTAAGTCAGACAATTCCAGAGTGACAGTTGCGTGTTTATTAATTTACAATATTTACAAAGGAAGTTCAGCTGAGTATAACTGTATTTGGAATAACCATTGCGTGGCAACTATATACTCGTTCGTTATCTTACTTTGTCGAAGTCTGTGATAATGATTTCCATTCCGTAGGTATCAAATAATATCCAAAACTTAGAAATTGGTAAAAAGAAATATTTTATTTCTCTTTAGCTTTTTATCGGCTCTTAAAATCTTACTATATATACCTTAGTATTGTGATGAATGTTCCACACATTAGTTTCTTTAATTTTTTGTCACAAAATTAAGCCATAAAGAATAAATCCGTAAAAAACGGAATAAAACGTGAATTTTATGGCAGTCGTAAAAAAATCTTTTTATTAAGAATGACATGTTTCGAGGAGATAAAAGATTATAGGTTCATAGTATAAGTAATGATAATATTGTTGTGACCTTCTGATACCTAATGATTGCCTAATGAACACTTTACTTGTTCCCTAAGAAATTTTTAGCACCTCAAAAAGTATTTCTGAATACAAATGTCATTAAAATAAAATAAATTATCAACTGCGATATTTTCTGAAGTAATACAATACAAGTGCCATCTATGTTCGGAGGGCAGCATCAAAGTAGAGAACTCTGCTTGCGTAACGTAGTGTCTTGTCATTCGGTTAAAATGGTATTCTAGTAGATTGTAATAGAACATTGATTACGTAGATGGCAGTAAATATGATTTCTTTTCTGGCGAGATAATGATTCTTTGGAAGCTAAAATTGTTCCTTATAAATAACAGTAATATAAATTTCACCCAAGTCTACCATGAATGCCCACTTTTCTTAAAATCTTACGCTTTAGCTACTGGCCCAATTGCAGCAAATTTGCTAAACCTCGATTCAACTAAAACCAGATCTATCCCATAGAGAAAAAAGTGTCTTAACGTCAATGTCAATTTGACATCTTTTTATGGTAGGTATATCTAGTTTTTGTTAAATGGAGATATAACAAAATTGTTGCAAGTGGACCCATGGTTCATTGAATGCTCAATTTTACCTACTAGAGGTGCCCTGAGATTTTGCCAACATTATTTTGTGGAAAAAGGTTTCAGTGGGTCATCCTTATAAAATAGACATATGCTGTTGCGGACTTTTTTATGGAACTTTTAAAGGGACACAATTCCGTGAAATATAATTTATATGTAACTTTTACCGTTTAAGCAGTGCACGCAACGGAAGCTCACAAATGGAATATTTTTACCGTTTTTGCAATATTTTTCATTGGTACTCTGCTCCTTTAGTCGTTGTCTTAGCGTTATGATATATGGCCTTCCTCGATATGCATATATCGAGGGGTGCATACCCCTTCGGCCGTTAAGAAAACCGGAATTTGGAAACCAGTTTCCTAAAAGTATTTTTTTATCCTTATACGTAACTGGTTTAATACAAATACTGTTCATATTATTTCAGCCACCTAAGAAACTAATAACCGGATTACGAATTGCGTATTATCTTTAATTAGGTAATTCTTTTTGTAAAACCGTAGTTATCAAAAACCTAAAGAATTTTTGAATCGGATCAGTAGTTATTGAGGTTAGCGTGTTGAATTAAACAAACAAACTTTTAATATTAGTACAGATATTAACCACTATTACTTATTTTTAATTCAGAAATATTCTTCATAATAGTACTTTACACATAATAGTACACAGTAGTAGTAGTTTAGTAGTTAATAATAGCAGATACTGAAGGTAGTGTTTAAATATATTTGGTGAAAAAAAACTCGATTAAAATAAAATAAGCTGATCATGTTATTTTATTTTATCAGCAGAAAATACATCCAACAAGAATTCCTTGTATTGTTCTTCATTCACCGAGTACACCAGTCTTGCTGTACTTTTGTTTTTTTCGACAAAATCGTTTCTTACGATACCTCGCATAGTATCTGAAATAAAACATTATAAATTAATTTCTGAAAAGTATCATCCACAATATAGTTTATCATAAATTTTGAATCTTTTTCTCTATTATTACAAAAGCTGGCGTCTTGTTTCGTATAGTGATGAGGATGTTACCGTGTTTGATGACCTCCGTGGCCGAGTGGTTTATACGCCGGGTTTCATGGTGACGCCGACTCGAGAGGTCCCGGGCTCGAATACCAGTTGGGGCAGATGTGTGTGATGAATACGAGCATTTGTACTGCAGTCATGGATGTTTAATATGTATTTCTATATAAATATACTTATATATGTACAATATATGTATTCTATCCGTTACCTTGATACATATCCCATAACACAAGCCTTACTTACTTTGGGCTAGGCTAGTTGGTGTGAGTGGCATGAAGTTTATGGCGTGAATCAATCGAACGTGCATTTAAATTGATTCATAGATTACGAATGACGACACACACGATTTCACGGATGAGAAGATTTAGGGTGTATTCCGAATCAAACACCAGTACGCTGGCCAGTGGTAATGACGTCATGATTTCGACGCCATATTGACAACACTACTACTACACCAGTGCAATAAGGCGTCGAAATCATGACGTCATTACCGCTGGCCAGCGTACTGGTTTATATTTCGGAATACACAATACACCCTTAGAGTAATAACTAAAGACAAATTTAACTATGGTGGCATGGCAATGGCAAAGGCCAGGGTAAAGCTTTATGATCTATATACATTCACGACAAACTAAAAACAAAGATTTTACAGTTTTACATATGAAGAGTGTTGCCGAGGCATTTCTTATTTGGTTTTGAACTATTTGTGTTTTTTATAAAAGCATCGGAGGCATTGTTTTATCTTTATAACACAGAATATACGCAATATTGTTATACTGAGTGCACATACTGCGTGTTTGAATGTCCAATTGTGACTAAAGCGAATTGGGGTCATGCACTACAATTTAAGCGGATAACTTTTGAGTCGTGATTGCCGTATCTTCCCTTTTTGTTTTAATCTAAGGTCTTAGCCTACAGAAACTTACCGCACAAACCGACGTCTTGTTTCGTATATTTGTACTCGGTCACCAGGTCTGGCCTGACCACTACAGCGATGGCGGCCGGGTCCAGAGCCTGCCAACGGTCGCTCTGCTCGACGGCCAGCCGTTCGAACTTGTTCTGAGCCCTCACTATATCTGAGTCAATAGCACCGAAAACTTGTTCTCTCCATTCCTAAAGATCGTAATAAAAAAAACACAAGCTTTAGTTTTTATATATTTTCCAATAATGTTTTTTATGTAAAGAGGATTGCGGACGGCCTACTTTGCCTATCACAGCGTGGAGCGCTGGGGGTATTTTAACATTATCATCATGTCAGCTGTACGACGCCCACTGCTGAGCGTAGGCCTCTCCCAAGGATCTCAACATCGATCGGTCCTGCACCACTCTCATCCATCGGCTTCCCGCGAACTTCACAAGATCGTTGGTATATTTTCCTTTTTTTTTTTAATTTTTCCTTTAATTTTTTTTTCCACACATGTATCCTATTATGACGCAATGTCGACTCCCTTCCGTTGTTGAAATCTGAGTTACATTCCTGTATAGATGTATCTGAGGCCATTTTGGCGAGTCTTAAAATATTTCTCTCTGATAATACAAAAGCTAACGTCTTGGTTCGTATAATTGTGCTAGGAATGGCTAGAGTAAAGCATTATGATCTACTTATCTTAATATATATAAATCTCGTGTCACAATGTTTGTCCTCAATGGACTCCTAAACCACTTAACCGATTATAATAAAATTCGCACACCATGTGCAGTTCGATCGAACTTGAGAGATAGGATAGTTTAAATCTCAAATTATAGTCGCAATTTTAATTTATTGCAAATTATTACTTTTGGGCGGTACGAAGTTCGCCGAGTCAGCTAGTATATATATATATCTGGGGGTATGTACTTACGTCTTAACAGACAGACGGTCAAGAAAATGGTCTTAAAAGTTCCGTTTCCTTTGATGGAAACCTCAAAATACACAATACACTACAACAATAATTATCGAACAGTTAAAAGCTAATGATCGAACTTCAAAAAATCTCTTTTTCATTCCCAACAAAACATAGTATCATTATTATCATCCAGATAAAGATCTTCACGCTAATTAATCTTGAAGCAATTAAATATACTATCAGGGGCGTATTAACTTAGCCAATGGGAAGTGCAAACTTATATCTTAACAGCAAATAATGCATACTCACTCTTGATATATTCAAATGCTCCATGACTTGTGAGAAAGGAAAGAACGTCACTTTTTCCACATTTGCGTTCTGCACAACAACATGGTAAGCTTCCACGTCCATGTATAAATTGAATTCCACGTCTTTGTTACTTTCATCTAAAAAGTAATTAATAATTGTTCTATGAAGGTAATTAAGATATCAACTCGTTTCTGTTTATTATTGTAATGGAATCCTGCAATATATAATTACATACAGCATAATTTACATAAAGCAGAATTTATTATTCATTATCAGGGCCGGATTTTGAGGCGTGGAGAGTCTGGGGCAACGAAGGAGTGAAGGCCGCTAAACCTGGGCCGGGTCACTTACAATTTTGGTGACCCGTACTAAATTGTGTTATTTATCTCTGTTTGGGGATCCTAGCCAGCCCTGCCTTAAATTCGGTCATGTTTATAATTATTGTGATTCATTATTAAGATTAATATAATGGAGATAAAGAAAAAAATATAATTACTGAAATATTTTCCATTCACAAATGCATTTTAAATCATATTTAAAAAAAAACTTGAATAGTCAATTACTGAATTATTCAAGATAATTCGAGCTGGCTTCCACTCAGGATTAATATATGTAGCTCTGTACTGGTGATAGAATTTGGTTCAATTGTTCCAGATACTACTTCTTACAAACAACTACGTATTCCGAAGTAATATTGAAATTCGAGAATATCTTTAAAATTTAAAATCAGAAAGTATTACCCAATAACTATCATTCAATACACCAATATTAACTCCCTGACTACCAAAACCTGAAAGGTTACAGATCAAATCCGTAGTGGAGTTGTATAAAAATAATTTGATTATTTCAAGCACAATTTTTTTCTTACTAATAGTACTTTAACAATTATTCGTATTCTGAATTTAGTAATAATTTTGATTATATTTAATTAGTTACCGTTAATATGACCAGCTGCTACATATAGATGGTCCAGTCGATTCAAGAAGTCCGGATCCATTTTGATTGCTAATGCTACGTTTGTCAATGATCCTAATGTGATAACTGTCAATTCATCTGAAATATAAATCGCAGATTTTGTTTGTTACAAAAAGTAACCAATAGCATAATATCCATAATATTGTGTAAATAAATTAAGAGGCAATGATTTGTTAATTGCTCTGTGCACAACAGTCAACAGTAAAGTTAAGAAAAAGTTTCGTCATCAAGCTAATTTCAAATGCAAGTATAGTGGCCTTTTGAAAACCTAAAGTATTTTGGTGCATTCTTGCCATTCGCTTCTTTGCCACCCTTTAAACATAAAAAGATCTAGTATTAAATAATATAGTGCGTACACGTGCATGCTTAAAAAAATCTCAAATATTTTTAATTTCGAGGATTTTTACAGTTGCTTGTACATATTATTGTCAGATAGAAAAAATATTGATCGTAGGAAATCACTTCAATTAATTTTATCAATAAAAGAAGGGGACCTGACAGGACATAGAGCTTGTTGTTCCGAAGTTAATTTTTTGAAAAAGGTAATGTATATTTGTGTATGGGCCAAATTAATTAACGGAAATGAAGCTGTGAGAACTCTCTAGTAACTTCGTATTAAGAATATAATGTTGGTACAGCGAATTTGGTAAAACTAGCGAAGGAAAATATCAGTAGATACCTTTATATGTCTTTGACAATTCTATAAGGGCTTGTACTGCGTTTGTGGGTTTGGCTGGAACTAAATCTGTATAAACATCGCCTGTGTCACCCAGGCCATCTTGACCAAAGTACGTTCCGCCATCTGGAGTATGGACTAGAGACGACTTTGATCCTCTATATATTGGTATCTGGAAGAAGAAAAATTTTCAGATTGTACACTTTTTCTTTGTTAAGTTTATTAGTGAAATGCCCCTTTTTGTGATCTTGGGAAATTAATTATATTTTTATCGCAGTTAAATTAGTGTCTTGGTATATTGAAAGTATAGTAGCAGCAAGAAACAAAATTTTCATTTTGATACCTCTGATAATATTAGAATGGGATAATACCATCCATACCTTTCATATAGTAAATATCACAAAAACAATTTACATGGGATAAATTATAATGATATAACTACTTACATCCTGTCTGTTTGCCACTTTTAATATCCTCTGATTATTGACGTATACATTATCCTCGCATGTGTTGCCATTTACTGTAGTTAGGCCGATTAGTTGTGGTCTGAGAAATTACAAGTGAAATTATTAAATCAATTATTCCAAAAAAAACCTCATCAATCCATTCTTATATACTTGCTCCAATAATACATTATTGAAAAAACTCTAAGAGCAATTTTAAAGTAAAGAGCAGATGTTAATCTGAAATAGAGAAAATTACCCGTCAAAATGTTTTTCGTTCAGGACAGCCAGAAATATGGCCATCGCATCATCGCCCCCAGCATCGTTGTCTATCACAAGCTTTGGCCTCTTGGTAGCTGGTCTAAAATAAAATTTATTAACTTAAACTTATATTTTTTAAGCATGTAACTGCTTGAAGTTTAAATCTAAAGAAAATATAACTAAAAAAAAATCCACGCGGACCAGGCAGCAGACGGGACTCGAACCCGCACCCTTCACTATCCGGGCGAATGCGCTGACCAATTATGCTTATTTATTTATTTTTGAGAAACCAACAGCGATACAAATAGATATTACATAATTGAACTTAGTAATAAGAATTCCCAATAACAGGTTTCTACGAATTAAATTAGGTACAAAAACTGTCGTTGTGCAGGCTAAACTAAGGTTACAATTAGGTATGCATTTAATAATGCCAGGTCGCGTGAGAACGTTGCAAGGCGGCTATTAGTGTCGATACTTTAATTTAGAAATTATATTGGTTTTGACAGCGCTTCTAGTATTTGAGAAAATGTCCATACCACTAAAAAGTATGTTATATAAGACAGGTAACCGAGTCAGAATTGCATTTGCTCCATACAAAGTAACAAGTGGTGGAGTAGCGAATAACGGGGTGATTCTAGTACGACGCTTTGGGGTACAGAATTTAATGTTAGCTAAAAGTTCAGGGGTATCAATATTGCTTCTTACGATATCAAACAGAGAGATCATATCCGATAGTATCCTACGCTCTTCAAGAGTTAATAGTCCATTTTTATGGCAATTATCGACATAATCGGATGAGCGACAAGTTCCCATGTAATTGAGGTATCTCATAAAACGGCGCTACGGCGGCCCTGATGGCTGCGTCAAAATTGGCCCTGCCTTGCAGTTTAAAAATACAATGCGGCCATCAGGGCCGCGGTATCATAATTGGTCAGTACATTCGCCCGGATAGCGAAGGGTCCCGTCGAGTCCCGTCTGCTGCCTGGTCCGCGTATAATTATTTTTAGTTATATTTTCTTTAAACTTAAACTTATTACAATTCACCAATAAATTTCTCATTTGCCCTAATACTACTTGCCATTTGCCTTTCGTTACGGACAAAACTCATTCAGGTAGACCGAATTATTAACAGACAGGCTTAACCTCTACAGTCCTGAGATGTTTTTTCCAAGACATAAAAAATAACCATATAAATTGGGCCTGTATGCAGTTCTGAGGATGACAAAAATATGGAAAAAATGGCATCCTTTTGGTTTTTCTTTATTTACTATCGCGTACATCAGTTAGTATTTTATATTTTATGAAATATGATCTATAGCTTGCCATTGAATTTATATAATAGGCCATGATTCTTATACATTTTTTAAAGTGTAAGTAATTTAGAATTATCCGATCTAATTCCTCATATAGGTATACTATATCGCAACCATGATTGTGCGTATGCGAGATAAGCTATTCTGGCAGTATTTGTACCAGTAACTTTATAACTCATTTAGTGTGCAGATGAACCTAGATAGTTTATTCGATATATATTTAATATGGCTTTTACAGTAAATTTTGCAGTTTATATTTACTCCTAATAATTTAAAATTGTTTACATGCTCTAGTTTCTTACCTTACATCGTGAATTTTATTATAAGAGGCTTATTTTGATATGATTGAAATAAAAAAAAAAAAGTTTTTTTAGATTAAGATTAAATCTTATTTAAGGTTAAGGTTTTTCCAAATATTAACGACATATCAACAGCAAACAATATACTGTATTCATCAAAAATGCTAGGTAAGTCGTTGATATACAAAATAAATAGCAAACATCCAATTACGCTACCCTGTGGTACAGACTTCGTCACGGCTGTTTCGTCAAATCCATTTTTTTTTATTTGGTTGCTGTTATAATATTTGTGCTGAACTTCAACACATTGTACCCGGTTCTTAAAGTATAAGACAAGCCAGTCATGTGCTACGCCCCTTACTCCAAAATCATTTAACTCTTTTAATAACATTTTTGACAAAACCCCGTCATATGCTTTTCTTAAATCTAATAGCAACCTCACAGCGCATTGTTTATTATTAATAACTAGTGGCCCGCCCTCGCTTTGCTTCGGTGTAGAGCTATAGTTTTTGTTCAAAGGCTAAAATACACAATGACTTTCTACATCCATTATAAACCTTCCATTCCAAGTAAAATATTCGTTGCGTAGTTTAGGAACCGTTGTACCGAATGCAACATTGCTCTGCTGTTCCGATTTGCTTTTGAAAATGTTGGCAGAAAAGCTATGGGTCGCTAGTTTTGATTTTCCGATACTTTCTAATGTAGTATCAGATGAATTGTGAATTGGTTTGATAATAGAAATTTATAATTTATCCGGTACCTTAGTCAAAGATAAGATAAGATAATCATTTATTGTCCAGAACTGTGTAAAATGGTTCTTAAAATTTGGTAGTGCTTACAGTTTTCCCATTTCGGGCGTACAATTACATTAAAATAATACTTAGTAATTAAATGTCAGCTACATAAAATTATAATAAATTTACTCTCTAAACTATATTCATACAATCATAAATTACATTTCATATCAAGTCATCAAACCAGTTAAGTTAAAATTATACATAGAATTGCAATTTTATTGTCAATGATCATTAAAATATTCTTCCAAACTATAAAAACATTTCGATAATAACCAGTACCTAAGCTGTATCTTGAATGGTTTACTTTTAAGGGCTGGTTGATTAAAAATGTAAAATTGACAACCTATTTTTTTCCAATACAAAGGCTAATTACAATAGCCGATACCTAATTTTGTGTAATTATCATAAAATAAGATTGTATAATTAGGGTTGAAAAAAGAATATTTGAGATTAGCTAACGACCTGATATTTTTCACTACACTGATCGCTTGTCTGCTACGTCAATTGACTGGTAAACTTTTTAATATAGTTCACTCTAATAAAGTACGCGGAGGAAAATGCGTATTTGACAGACCTAGCCTGTAGAAATTTTTTGATGCCTATGTAGTCGCTCGAAGACGTGCGGTCTCTAGAGGTTAATGCGAAATGTAGATGCAGTCAGAAACTACGCTTTGAAGTATCGTTTAAAGCTTGAAGAAGCTCGATATAGTAAAATTGTTGATCACCCTTTCGGTAATCAGCAAAAAGTAACTTAACTTTGAAGTTTGCAAACCGAGCCCGATCATTACACCACTGAGGCTTCTGTGAAAAAAGGATAAATCAGGAAAATTACCATCATTCAAACATATATTTTTTATTTAGACCTTAATGCCGATCCATTTTATTTAATCTATGTTTTTGAAGTAGAGTTTCTGAACTCCTGAAATTCATGATTATAATTACATAAATTAATATCTTATTGAAAATCACTAAAGACGATATCTCTGATAAAATCAAGATAAGATTTTTCGTAAGTTTTAAGATACTCAATTGTTCTTTACCTTCAATTATTTATCGCAAAGATAAATAATATAAGATTTTTTTGTTTGAAATCATATTGACTCTTTTGGAGAATATTATTAATAATAACTCAAGATGAATAGAAACGAAACAGAACTAATATTTATCTAAATACTCTAAACCTTAATATCATGCTGAGTCTATTTTTCTTAATATATGCATCAATACTCAAATATGTATTTCTAGACAGAACCTTTTTTTTCCTAATTCTCACTTCTTTGACGGGAACACTGGTTCCCACTCGTCGGGTGACGGTCCAAAATTTTATCGGATTTTCCAGTGGCAGAGAATTTTTATATCATTTCTCGTCGGCTCCGACACAACATCGGCTTTCAACAAGAGTGAATATCTGCATATCAAATGCTCTGACACTGGAACATCCGATTTGACCCGTCACCCTTTAGAGGTCTAAGCCGGCACCCGACAAGTGGGAGTAAGCTCTTAGTTCCCTTATTTCATTGAATTTTTACGCCATGATCATAATAATTCTTATTCTCCCTAATTTTATATCAATATTTTCATTGGAGAGAAAATTATTATCGTAATAACGTATAATTAATTTAATTATTATTCTCAGATGATTTAAATGTTACTTTGACTCAAAAATTACGAGGTCAGGCATCTCTTATCTATTTGACAAGTCCGTCCGTCCGTCTGTCTGTGGTGCTGTTTCAGCGGCCAAACCGTAAGAGTTAGATAAAGAGAATATTTAAGTTATAAGTTAAGAATAGTCTGATAAGACTACAAACCGGATTTGAGTAACGTAGCACTACCGGTTTTCGAGAAATCACGAATTTCAAACGAAACCACACAAAATCTCCGAAGTTCTCAATTAATTAAATACATTTTTTTAAATCAGGTTTTGGTGAACATTTGGTTCACTGGTTTGCTAGTAATTATAAATTTTGGTTGGCCGTATAGATTAAGAGTGAGAAAAATCATTTTAGGAATGTTTGTTAGTGTTCGAACGGTCAACTTCTTCGCGACATTGTTACTATCTTCTGTAACAATATTTCCAAAATAGCGAAATGGATAGACGTAGAATACTGAATAATTCACTTAGTTTTAGCATTTTACAAGTAAGATATAAAGTCAAGATGAATATTATAAGTTAAATCACTTACATTTTGATATCAGCTAAGGAAAAACAAACACAGAAAAACAAAATATATCTTCTAAGCATAACGTAAGCTCACTCGACGATGCGTGGTGATAAAATAGCAAACCACCATATTAGCTCAACCAGGTTCATGATGATTTGGTCAGAAATAGATAATACTTATCGCAAATGCCGAGCCAACACTAAAAATACCGAATGTCGAATTCATTACATGAAATCAGATGAAACAATCAGTAAACATACAAAAACCTCAACTAGCAGGGAATCAAGAGTTAGAATTGAAGATTATGTTTGGTAACTTGAGTAAATTTATGTATACTTTTATTCATAAGATTTTAATAATACGATAAGAGAGAGAGAATATTATAGTAAATAATGATAATAATAACAAATTTCGCTTGAGCCTCTCATAACTTAACTAATATACTATAAATAGACATAGCTAATTACCAATTCATTAGCAGCAATTTTCTGTTCGATAATTTGGAAAGTAATTCGCAAACTAGGTGCCGGAAACAGACAAATTTCAACCATCCTAGTAGATTTAGTGATATTTAGATACATCACTGAAAATAAAGCAAATCATACAAATAATATGTGAATGAATGAACAGTAATGAATACTCACATTTCAGAAGGCATATCTTTTGAGGAACGCGAAATAAACTTTGTAAACAAAGAATTTAACCTTATTATTTTCCTTATTACCATTAAATAAAGCAATTTCCCGTCAAAACGTTTATTAACACATCTCTATACATAAAACGACGAATACAGTAGGCTTAATATATTTAGATTTATAATTTAAACTTATTCCTTATTGAACAAAGAGATACTATCGGTCTCAAAATAATGCAATACAGTGATACTAAACAACTGTGACACACATGTTTCGTTACATTACTTTGGGGAGCGACTCGATAGACTGTTGTAGTGTAGTATTGTCGTCTTTATCTAAAACATAATGCATGTGAAAGAGATAGTCGAAAGCGAACATAATACAGATCCACTGTGGATTCTATATAGCTCAGCGTAAGGTCGATTTTAAATGATAATATCACTTATCGCATTATGAATGGGAAGGGTTTGATGCATTTACGCACGATTCTAAATGACTCAATCCATTGGTATCCTTGTCGGGATTTTGATCACAGCAAGAAGAGATTTTTCTTCACATTCTCTAGCTAGTGAATATACCTTTTTTATTATTTATTTATTTACTCTTATTGTCATTTTACAACAAATGGCGGACTTAATGCCACATGGCAATTTCTACCAGTCAACCATCGGGCTAAGCAGAGACATTATGCGGTAAAGAAAAAGCAAAAGGTGAAAAAAAATTGATAAAACTACATGATATTAATATAATAATTATAATACATAACATCTATAAATATACCTAATTAACTATACATATATACATACATATTTATATTTACGATAAATACTTTTTTTGTGTTTGGGAAATACCTTACGCATCCTTCAACCACTGGGGGAGCGAGAAGAAGGTATGTGGGACTCCTCCCTATCCCCTTGAGCCAGCCCTGGAGCTCGCTGAAATGAACAGGACCCCCCTACCTACGCCCTGAACAGGGCCACTAAAAACCAGACAATACTCCTGCACCGTCACCCGACACGCACCATGAGGACCGCGGTCCTCCCAGTGCGTGCCGAGATGGGCGGGTGTGGTCGCGGCACCTGTCTCCGAATGGCCGCGCACCCGCCAGGTAGCTAGTCAATATACCTGCATAAACTGAAAGGATGACCATTGCCGAGTGTGATAAAAAATATGAGTGTTTAAATACTTAATTTAATGAACAGTTTCATACAAGGCTTTATCTACAACCATGATATGAATCCTCTATGAAAGATTTTGAAACCATAGGGCCTTCTAAGAACTTAAAATTATTAAAAGTTTCGGGGCTGTGTTAATGAATCCCGCGTGAATGAGTGTTTTATGAAATTTATAATACGACGCATTGAGCAGTGAAAATTGTGGCTATGTGATGAGTTAGCTTTGATCACGCGTACCAAATAAACGGGCTAGACAGTAGATAATATTACCGTGGTAAAATGTTTCTAGGCCGAGACAGTAACGAGAGACTAGAGCACTGCCTCGATCGTTTGCTCGGTACGTGTGATCAAGGTATGAGTATTATTATGAAATCATAACACCCGTTTGGATGATATAATGGTTTGTTTTTTAATTATGATATTGGATGTTTTAAAAAATGTTGGTATTATGCTGACTGTTTCAGAATCTTTAATAGAGTTATATTTCTTTTTTATTATTTTAAAGCATGTAACTGCTTGATGTTTCAATCTAAAGCAAAATATAACTAGAAAAACTATAATTGCTACTTCTTTTTTCAAATGTTTAATACTTGTAAAAGTATTCATTTGACATTGTGGGTTACCTATAATGCGAAGAGATGGCGCTGCCTTGCAGCTTAAGAATACCTAGAAGAATTTCGACGCGGTCTGTGAGGGCCGAGGTAGCATAATTGGTCAGTGCATTCGCCCGGATTGCGAAGGGTGCGGGTTCGAGTACCGTCTGCTGCCTGGTCCGCGTGGAATTTTTTCTAGTTATATTTTCTTTATCTTTAATAGAGGTTTTAAAACATGGGTGTGAATAATAATAGTTTATATCCTTATTAATAGTTTATAATACCACTGCGTTAATCGATTTTATTGGAGTAATCAGGTTTTGCAAGTTTCAATATATTTTGCGATTCTGCTTCAATGTATGTAAAATGTATAAATGATATACCTACGTGTAATTTCGTTTATGTAATAAAACAATCTAGAAAATATATGTGACATTTTATTATTAATTTATTTATTCGGTACGGCTGAAGAGGTCTAGTAAGAATTTTTTATAATCTTCCTCGTGAAATGAATAGATAACTCTAACATTAGCTTCTTCCTTTTCCACAAATTTATTAGTGTTTATGCCTTTATATTCACCTGAAATCAAGAATAAACAAGTAATTATATACAGTGATGATAAATCAACTCAATCTATAATTAACCTATAATCACCCATCATCGTTTGATAGATTCCAACAAGTAAACTATCTTTATTTGGATTTTTCATATAAATTTCGAATATAAAGAAAAAGAAACATGCAAAATCGTATAACCTTTAAGAAAGCATTGTTACTAACAATATTATCTAAAGGGGAATAGAGATGGCGTAATTTCATGCAACTTGTATTAAAAATGTAGATCTAATCATTTTACACTAACCACAAAGTATGATATCATTTTGCGAGTACTTATACTCTTTAACTAATTCTGGTTTAATAGCTGCTGATACTGCTGCTGGGTCCAAAGCCGTCCATTGACCACCAGGTCTTCCAAGAGAAATCTTCTCATATTTGTTTTGTTCCCTTACGATTTCGTTATCGATTCGACCTAGGACATCATTTCTCCAACTCTAAAAAATTATAAAAGGTTTTCGTGAACTATATGAAAAATCTTTGTTTATGCTTGAAGAGTTCCGCTTCTGTCACCATTTATGTAGGTACTCACGTACTTTACCCAAATAGTCCCAAAACTAAACACTCTTGTGCTATACGTCTCTGGCCGATAATAAACAAAAAAAGGCCAGGCCATAATAAGTTCTCCTTACCTTACTGATATTTAAGTAAATCTTTGTTTGCGAAAACGGAACGACTGTAATTTTATCAGGTCTAGCATTTTGGGCCATTATGTGGTAAGCTTCAGGGTCCATTTTGGCATTGAATTCGGGCAAAGATTCTTGATCGCCTGTATAAACAATTAGTGTTTCAGTAATAAGTTAAACGAAACATTGAATATAATGCATATGTGCATGAAAACATAAGGAATAAATAATAACATTGATTAATATTTTAACATAATTAAATCGACAAATCCACTGTTACTTTTGTTTTACAAACTTACTGTAAATATGTCCAGCAGCAACATACAAATGAGCCAGTCTACTTATAAAAGCAGGATCTAGTTTCATAGCCAAGGCAACGTTTGTTAGGGTTCCAACTGTTACAATAACCAGCTCACCTAAAAAGTTAAATTTTTGTTTTATTTTCATAATTATTTAAAATAAGGATTTCAAATACAATAGGGGTGATGACGGGGTACAGTAAGCGAAATTCTATTAAGTCCGTCAGTTAGATGATCTAAAAATAATGGACACGTATTTTTTCTTTGGGCAATCAACCAAAAAATGACAAAGTTATAGCGCGTCAAAGTTTGGGAGCTCGTGACGTCACATCTGAGTGAATTTTCACTTGACGTCACGCGACTTTTCAAATCAATATATCTCTGCAATGTTTATATTATGTGAAAAAAGAAAAAATACGTGTCCAATACTTTTTGATAATCTACCTGATAAACGAAGAAAAAAAAATAGTCATCATCCCTATTGTGAAATATTCATACACTAGTGGCCCGCCCTCGCTTCGCTTCAGTGTAGAGCTGTAGTGTAGATTATAGTTTTTGTTCTCAGGCTTGTATTATACACAATAAATTTCTTTATATAATTATAAACATACCATGAAAATGTATTTAACTGACAGTGAAAATTTGGTTGCGTAGTTAAGGGCCCGTTGTACCGAATGCACATTTTTTTTGGTTGAACGCACAAATCTCAGGAACTAATGGTCTTATTGCGAAATATTTTTATTGCTCCCACAGTAATACATAGTTCAATACATAGTACAATGCGATATGACAGCGTGAAGAGCAAATGGATGTGGCTCAGCATAAACTGCTTCGTTACAGAATGTCTCGGGCATTAGGGATAGTTTGTTATAAATTCTTGAGGCAGTTCTTAATTTCGTTTTAAGATATTATATAAATTATCATAATCATAATGAAAACGTCACCGAAAACATTATTGTGGCCTGGCCTCTTTATCTGTCTATATTTCATCTTAGAACTGAAACTTTAGTTTTTGAGAATCCCACTGGAATCTTAACTTTTTTGCGGGATAAAAAGTTCTATGTCTCAATCCAGGTCATCAGCGTACCAAATTTTATCGAAATTCGTTCAGTAGTTTTTGCATGAAACAGTAACGAACTTACAAACACAATTTTGCAAACTTTGACATTTATTATAATATATTTATATATATTAGAAAAAAACACTTTCTGTCTTACCTTCGTGTATTTTCGACAATTCGATAAGACGTAAAACTGCATTTTGTTCCTCAGCTGGAGTTAATTCTGGAATAGTTTCACCGGTATCCCCTAAACCATCCATACCGTAATAGAAATTAGCTACGTCAGTATTCACTATGGAAGATTTACAACCTCTGTATATAGGCACCTGAAAAGGTAATTTCATAATTTGTTTCTTTACAGTTACTACAATGCAAGTAGTTATATATATTTTTTTAAAGTATTGAACTATTAGACGTTTATATCTAATTGAAATTGTACAAAAAAAATCCAAACGGAGCAGGCAGAAGACGGGATTCGAACCCAGGCACTCTACTATCCGGGTGGATGCACTGACCATTATGCTACCGCGATCCTAATTATCCTTGTTGAATTGTAGTTAAGGAAGAACATCAGGTCAGGTCAGTAAATTAATTATGTGATTTGAGCCAAATTCTATGCAAATTTTTAGTGCAACCTTGATTAAAACTGGCTTAAACAGGTTCAAAATGCGTCTTTTTATTACAATTCAGTTTCTGTTATAAATTATTGAGACAGTTTTTAATTTCGTTTTAAGAATTATGTTCTTTTAAGCATTTAATTGCTTAATTAAATTAGATGCTGATTAACTAGATGTTTAAATGTAAAGAAAAGTTTCATCATCATTATCATCAGCCTGTTGATATCCCCACTGCTGGGGCACAGGCCTTCCCTATGGATTGACCAGGCAGCAAATGGGACTCGAATTCGCACCCTTCGCCATCCGGGCGAATGCACTGACCATTATGCTACCGCGGCCCTTCGTTTTAAGAAATTAAATAAACCATAAATAATTATACTGAATTTTGAATATAATTAACAATAAGACGGATTTTGAACCCGTTTAAGCTTGTTTTCTTTTGAAACGACTGGTGTGCGTGAAAAGAAACAAATATGAGATAACCTTGAGTGTTATATGAATTAATAGCGTGTTACTATCTAAATTATTTTTTTTAAATGCTACACTCAGTTCATATTTAATTGAAATTACTAAAATGCACGCATGTTTTAGTAAAATAAGTAGCTACTTACTCACATTTTGTCTGTTAGCAACTTTTAAAATTCTTTGGTTATTTCTGCATACATTATGTTCTAATGTATTTCCGTTACCAGTAGTAAGCGCTACCAATTGCGGACTGAAATCATTACAAGTAATTTAAAGTTTCATATTTTGTACTAGACTATGTTGTATGATGATTTAAAAGACGTTTTATTTTTCACTTGAAATTTTCCAGTTAATGTTTTGCATAACAAAAGGAATTGAAATTATATCAAAAACATTTGAAAATCTAACAGCGAAAGTTTAAAGTATGGGTATAAGAAAACAGGATTTTAGAAGATTATAATAAAAAAGGAAGGAATAAAAAAAAATTACATTGCTACTAATGCGATTATCTTGTATTTTCAAGACCAAAAGAAAGTGCTATGAAATATTTGGGTTGTTTAAGTGTCATGTTCATGGTGGTATGATGCAGTGATGATAAGTATAGTTACCCGTCATAGTATTTTTCATATAAAAGAGCTACGAATATAGCCATAGCGTCATCTCCACCGGCATCGTTGTCTATGACTAATTTTAATTTTCCATCTTTTGTCCTGAAATTGTAATAAATACGAATAATGCATATTTTACTATGTGCGCTTATAAAAGTGCGCGCGTGTTATAAATCTTTTATTTGATAGCTGTTGAATTATGTAAGTGACCACAAATTATTCTCTATCCTAAAGTCAATTAAGTTCACAATTTTTTAACATCGTCTGACACATTAAAGCCAATAAACTGCGATGCAGTTATTAAAATCAACATGAATAATTTATTCAATATGGTTGAAAATGTTTATCGATTATATGTGTTTTTTTTTTATTAGATTAATTTAACGGTTGATAAATATATTCAATAACACTATTTGGGTCTAATGGAGCTTACCTTTCTGTAGCTAAGCACACACGACTTAGAATTCCAATAATAAGTAGAATTAAATTAAATTTACAGTTCATTGTAGGTTAGGTTGATAGCACGCTCGAATCTTGGGTCGAGATGTTATACTGGCCGAGACCAGTAACAAACTGATATATTATCTTGTTTATTTCTGTTCCAGATCAAGAACGAATAACTGATTAAATATCCTTAGTACCAACAACTATGCCAGCATAAAATAAAATTCCATATACAAACTTTTATCCCTTATATTACACGGACATGCAAATTTTATTTCCGCACCAAAAATTATATCTTTTTTTCCATAGTTTCCTATTATTCAAGTAGATAGCCAAATTCTACAAAATATGTAGGTACTTATTTGAGTTTTGTACCTGCAATGATATCTTAAAGTATTCTTTATTCTATTTTTCGTGTTTTTTAAATATTCCGATTGCAGGTTTTATTATTAATTAAATGTTAAAAAGATAATGCTTCTAGTATGCCTGCGCAACACAATACCTATATTTTGTATTTTTTTATACTTCTTTTTTATTCAAATCAAATATTAAGTATTGACGCTTCATGTTATGGCTCATTAAAACAATAAAGGCTTATCTCATAAGTATCGTATTTGGATCTAAAGACATTTTACTAGAAAAAATCCAAAAGGTCTAAGCAGTAGATTATTTGTAGTAAACATTTCTTAAGATTTAAACATCTAGCAGTTAAATGCATAAAAAAATAAAAATATAATGTTTTATCATATTTTTCATGAAAATTTTACCAACGCAAGGAATAAGTAAAATAAATAATTTAATATCAATAAATATAATAGGAGGTTTAATTTTTATTGTATTCAGGAATTTCTGCTGAAAATGTCTCATATAAAAAATTCTTATATTTATTTTCTGAGGTAGCGTAGACAAGATTCACGTTAGGTTGGTCGCTTGTAAAATTGTTTGTATTATATCCTCTTTTATCACCTGCAATAAAAACAAAAACATTACTTACCAAGTTCTTAATGATGTTTCTTAGGGCAAGTAAACATTGAAAAGGTTTTAATAGTTAAATAATAACATAGAGAAGAAGAATTTGTATACAAATTACGTGTGTGTTGTATATAAGTAGGAATATGGGTGTGGAACTGTGGAATAAGAATCCTCCTACATATCACCTTAAACCATTTATTTACTTGTCATTTTTAAATGATTTTCCAATATTTTTAGTAAACACCTATAAAAAGATTATGAGCAATGCTGTTTAAATAATAATATCTACTCTAACATCCTATAACACATGCCTTACGTGTGCTTACTTCGGGGCTAGGCTTATTGGCACACTCACAGTGTGGGAAATATTTATGTTTATACTGAAATTTCATATACCTACTTTTTGACCGATACGACCCAAAGTAAAAGGTAATCTTGTATGCAACCGTATTAGGTTTAAGTTTTTTTCACTCGTTAAGATTCTTTTATGATCATTAGCATTCTCAAATACAGCATACAGGCGAATTCGAGGGCAAAATTTGGTTTGCGTCATTATATCATAAGAAAATTTGAAACCTATCGTCCGTAACAATTACGTGTGTAGTACCTTCAATAATCCCCACGACTACTTCATTCTTTGTTTTATTTCTTTCTCAGTTCAGTGTCAAATAATTTTTGGTGATCACAAAAGTGGTAAGGATGTTTCCTTTAACGTACAGCATTTTGATGGTTCATCTTTAAATTATTACCTATGTTCCAATATTTTTGCTGCCAACGCTTAAACTTACCCCATAAGGTAATGTTGTTTTTTGAAAGCTTGTAGCTTTCTACTATGCCATTGTTCAGTGCCACTGACATTACGGCAGGATCTAAATAGTGCCATCTAGGATTTTTCGGTAGCGCTACTTGGTCAAACATGTTTTGAGCTCGCATGATATCAGTGTTGATTTTGCCAAGCACATTCTGGCGCCAGTCCTAGAAAAATATATCTTATACATATTTATTTAATGAAAAAGGTGGAATGAAAATGGAAACCTTATATTTAATACAACAATGCATATAGAAGATACTTATTATTTCCTGGTTTAAGACAGTGGTTTTATAAATCGGAAACAATGATCATCACACTATCATAGAAAATAGTTAAAGAACTGCTGAACTTATCAGCATATAGCGTGATATAAGGAAATAACCCTGTGCAGATTACTTTTTACTGTCTGCAAAAAAGCAGGCACCTGTTCATATTTGGATAGCAGCAGGCCTGTATTGACATTATTTTATTAACTAGCTGACCCAGCGAACTTCGTATCGCCATAAAAATATGGGTCGTGGAAGGGTGAAAATTTAGGGTTGTGTATATTTTTGTATGATGTATCATAAAAAATAAAAAGACCTACTGAATATGCATTTAAAATTTCACGAAAATCCGTCAAGCCCTTTCGGACTAGTTCAATTACGCACACCGCGACACGAGAATTTTATATATTCGATAAGATAATCTAAATGACTCACTGTAGTGATATTCATCGAATCTTTAATCCGGGAGAAGGGCAAAACAGTAACTTTGTCTGGATGTGCACTTTGCATCAAAATATAGTAAGCCTCGACGTCGAGCAAAGCGTTGAATTCTGGTTTTGGAAAGCCAGCGTCTGAAAATAAGTTTACAGAAAACCATATTGTTATGATTGGCATTAAGCTAATTGTTTTAGAATCTTTGAAAAAGGATTTAAATCGTGAGTGTGGATAAAGAGCATGTACATTAATGATGTTGTTGTAGTACTAGCATTTTATATCATCTTTCTGCGGTCTTGGTCATTTTATCACTTATTCATTATTATGATGGGCCATAATTTCTGAGAAATCATAATTTTGCTAATATTTTTATTTCTTAGTTTTCTTAATATTATTTTAAATATTTTTTATCGGCGAGAATCGCTTTCTGTTATAGTCATAGATTTCTGCGAATTATGGTACAAGGAAAAGAACTTTTAAATAAGAAAAACTTCTAAAAAAGCAACAGGAAAAGAATGGTTATTGTTTCATACCATTAATGGTTCCAGCACCAACATATATATGTTTGAGTCTATTTATGAAGTCAGGATCAATTTTGAGTGCTAATGCTATATTTGTGAGTGGTGCTATAGTCACAACTATGAGTTCACCTGTAAAAAACAGACAAATGACATTTAACATCGTAAATATAATACTACAAGCCGACAGAATGTTATTATTCATAATTTATTTATTTATACTTTATTGCCACAATTACAAAATGGACAAAAGGCACACTTAACGCTAAAGGCATTCTCTGCCAGTCAACCTTCAGGAGTACAGAAAGACACGAATGCGGCTTTAGTTAAAAAGTAATTAACTAATATAAACATACCATAATAGAAAGTAATGATACTGGGTATGTATTTCTATATAAATTTACTTATGTATGTATAAGTATTTGTATTCTAACGTTACCCTAGTATCCCATAACACAATTACAGGGCTTACTTTGGGGCTAGGCTAATTAGTTTGGGTTTTGGAAATATTTATTTATTATATATTTCCGTCTCCCTAATTAAGAATAACTTAAATTAGACCTATAAGTACTTGCTTACCTTCGTATTTCTTTGAAAGTTCAATCAAAATAAATACTGCATGTGAAGGTTCTGCCCTTATTGCTTGATACTTCACGTTCTTATTATCTCCCAGACCATCAGTGCCAAAGAAGTTATCTTCTGGATAGTCTTTGATGATGGCACTCTCGCTTCCTCTATGAATGGGTATCTGGAAATTTTTCTTACATTTCTACTTTTCATGTTTAAGGTGCAAGTAATAAAATTTATGCGTTTTTGGGAAGTCGCGTATGTTAGAACATTCCCTTTTCCACCTCTAGAAACTGTCAGATTTCAAAGAGTATATAAATGAAAAAAATCTGCGAAATATTTTCATGGTAAGTCTGACAATGTTTTAATTTTTATCGCTTATTTATGAGCCAAACTTTTTTGTTGGGTTATATTTGATCTGATGGCGTACTTAAGTGAATGGAGTGGCACTAACAACTAACGAGAAATATTCGTATCATGTCAAATTTTCTATGAGAAAAGGTAGTTAATGGTAGGTCTTACGTCCTGTAGTGGCACTGCATATTTTCCAAAGAAACTTCGACGTTAGCGAAACGAAAATGGATCTGTTAAATTTCGTACTTGAGGTACTATACGAATCAATACTTACATCTCTCCTCTTAGCTGTATCTAATATTCTTTGAGTATTTATAAAGCACTGCGACTCGTTTACATTACCATGAGTTGTTGTTATGGCTACCAGCTCAGGGCTGCAAAAGTATTTCATCACCGTACAGAATTAATAAAGCCAATATATAATATTTTATATACAATATTTCTACGATGAGATTGATGAAGCACGGAGTTAGCGCATTCAGCTGCGATCTTTGAAGCTAAGCAACTTTCGCAATGGTCGGTCATAGATTGGGGGACCAAAAATTTACTGTCTTGAGCTCCTCCGTGCTTCGGAAGGCACGTTAAGCCTTTGCTACCGGTTGCGTCTACAGTCCTTAGCACCCAACAATTCGCACTGGGCCCGCGTGGTGGGTCATGGCCCAATCTCCCTATTCCATCCATAGAAAAGGCCTGTGCCCCAGCAGTGGGGACATTTAAAGGCTGATGATGATACAATCTTTCGTTAGTGAGATAATTGTGCCGATAAAATTATAAGAATATATACACTAAATATTATCATTATTAATAAGATAATTTTACCAGTTCGCTCATATTTTGCGATGCTTCCATTGAAACCCTAATTCCAGTCAAATTCTGATGGTTTTTTCTTCTTATAATTTTCACAATAGCATTAATTATACATGATTATTTTACTTCTATGATAGGTGAGAGTTAATTTGAATTTGAAAAATATAGATTATAATTTTTATTATAATTTAATTACAATCAGTATTCGATTTTCTACACTTACCCGTTGAAATACTCTTCCCGTAATAATGCAATAAAAATGGCCATCGCATCGTCAGCACCCCCATCTTGATCTATCACAAGTTTTGGTCTATGTGAAGTTATATAGCTGAAATGAAAAACGATCTTCATAGTAATTTATATTATTAAAAGGATTGTTACCACCTACCTTGTTTTAGTGAGTTTCCGATAATTGTTTTCCAGAGTTACTCCTTGATCATGGCGCTTATCGAATACTCGTTAAAAACAAGGTACATGCTAACAATCCCGTAAATAACATAAATTACTATAATGTCAGTGGCCATGAAAGTTTAAAATAGAAATATCTTTAGAAAAAGTTAACAGGCAATTATATTTAAATACCATTATACACTTTTTTACAAAAGTGTGCGTACTTCTAAAGAAACATGCGTTAATAACCAGAAAAGAAACATATTAATCATCAATCAATCAATATATCTATACTAGATATGTTTTTGGATTTTTGACAGTTTTGCGTTTTGAATTAGTTTTTTTGCTTTCTATATGTTTTTAAAGACTACAAATTTATTTCACAAAGGTTGTCCCTGAAGGTCGAATTTATCTTCTGATTCAATTTACCTTTCAATCTTCCTCATAGTGTAAACTGCATTGTTACTGTGTTCAAGGAAAACCACCTTTTTAACAATGAAATTAAGTACTGCACTTACAATCGACTAATTATTGGAAGGTGATTTATAATGTTTGTTAAAAAGTGACATCTTTATAGTGTATCTAACCTTTGTATAACCACGATAAGTTAAAAGTATTCCTGGATACCCGCTTATTTGTGTGTCAGTTAATAACCTTATTTTTCATTTATTTCGGGTATTCTCACAATGGGCTTACAGACAAACGCTCCATTTCTTTTTGCCTAAATTAATATTACTTTATGATAAGCTTGATTGATTATGGTGTCAAGACAGAAAAAAATGAATGTTCATAAAAAATCTAGCACTAGATTTAACACTAGGTAGACCAAAAAGCGTTGAAATATCCCATTTCATATAGACATAGGACGATAAGAATAACTTCATTGAACATTTCAAAAATTCCATATACACTCATTGTATGTCTATTACATGGCCGGATGGAGCAGCGACTTGGAATAATTAGGTACTAAGTACCTACTAAAATAGGTTAGGTTGCCTTGAAGTTAATAATTTCCAATTTCAGAGGTGAATACGCGATTTTTTTCTATTGTGTATTACTTCAGTTCTAATAATTAAAAATAACTGTAAAACCGAGTACTATTAAAAAATACATTACTAAAAATTTACCTAAATGAAAAACCTAGATATGTGAAAAAAACATTTTCGTCATGGTGAGTTTTTGAATTCCACAACTTTCACAAAACATTGACGTTGTCAATACTATAGGTTGTGTACTTTTAATTTTATTTAAAAAAAAGTTATGGTCATCCTATTATAAAAGGATTAAAGGTCTTTGTTCTATATCTCTCACTCATCCCATTTCATCGATAAAAGTACTGTCTTAGTTATATGGTATGACCGTGGATACGTGACTCTGAAACTCTTTTATTTATTTTTTAAAAATTGATTTAATTTTTTAATACTCCCTTCAGTTTACGAGACAATAAAATTTATTATACATCGATATCTAAAATAAAAAAAAATCTTCATCGCACTGTTGCAATCATTAAAAATTATAATTACGCTATACTTACTTAATTGGGGAATTTCGTAATGAGACACTGACATCACTTTGAAAATGTCAAGATGGAGTCGTAATTTTTTTGAAGTAATATGATGATGATAGTGAATAATGAGTTACTTAGCGACGATAAGTAAATATTTTATAGATGAAAATGAGTAAAAATGTATGAGAGATATATTACATAAATACAAAAAAGGAAGCGCCGTGAAGCGGCGAGTATATTGAGCTAACGAGAAAGTGCCGTAAACATTGAATTTGGAAAAGTTAAGAGCTAAAACAAGTTTTATAATACAAAACTTGAAACTAAGTTATATCTAAGATCTATATTAAAAATCGCAACAGCAAACAGACACACCACAGCCGTTTGTAAAACGCGGAATCATACAAATTGCCTGCGACATATACCACTCGGCCACGCCACGGAGATCGAGAAGGTAATAATTTCTTTACCTAAAACTTTCTCAGGATTGTTCCATTTTTTGTATCAAAACTGTTAATTCTTTTAAAATAAAGTTTAAATAATATTTATTTTATTATTTTTGTACGTGGCAATCAAATAGAGCTCCAGAAAATAAAACATATTTTTATCTTTATTTGGTTATTTAATTATTGCTATAAATCCCAAAAGACAAATCACAATCCAGTCCCTGAGGCCGCGCGTAGATGGTTAAATATCAAAAATGTGTGGTTGATGGTTAAGTGTTTAAAAGTTTGTCAATGTTGTTACATTTGTTTATTTAAAATATTATTATCATCATCATCTTCGTATTGTTCTCACTTTTAGGTCACAGACCTTCCCTATGGATGGAACAGGGAGAATGTGCTATGACCTATCACGCAATCTCAGTGTGGATTGGTGGGTGCTAACGGCTGTATATGCAGCCCAGGGCCGTAGTTAAAGTTGTATTTAAGATAGTACAGTATGTAACTATAGTCATGAACCATAGAAATAAGAAAGTTGAAATTTCTTTTTGAGTGTGTATTTCTGTTGCCACTATAACGGTCATTAAAATATAATAAAGTTACAAATTTAATATTTAAGCAGTAATATTGTTGATGACTTTTTAATTGCTCGACCATGACAGTCAGTGTGATTCAAATGTTTCAATGACACGAAACCTTATGCGTGCGATTTGCACTTAAAAGGTTTGAGAGAACGGTTTTCCACAAATAAAAATTAACGCAATTTTTTTAATACACGTAAAATCCAAAAACATGAAAAGGAAGCGTCGTCTAAAAGTATATAAAATTAAGTCAAAAATTTATTACTTTTTAATTGATATTATTGTGTTAATAAAGAAACAAATATTAGGAAACAGACTTACCATTGTATTGTTAAAATTAAATTGACGAAAACTGTGAAATAAATTAAATCCGCAAACATTTTGCACAACTTGTGTGACAAGTTTCTCTATTCTCGCGCAATGCAATGGATATGTTCTCAGTTACAACTTGTTTAAATATCTCAAATATGATTATGATTAGGTAAAGTTTTCCTGTGTTAAAAACTGGTCTCGTTAAATGCGCGCGCACCGTACAAAAGCGGCAAAATACTGCTTAAAGAGCCATTATTTAAACAAGTGACTTCCAAAGAAACAAGAAATTAAATTAATAGCAGCCTGCTGATTGATGACGTACTTACTGGCTAATCGATCACAGAAGCTAAGCAACTTCTTAATAGGCCGGGCATCGAATGGGCTAAATAACTTTTTTCCAAGGGCAAGTTATCTTACAAATCTGTACTGAGCCCTCGCAGAAGGCTACTATAACAACTGAATTTATGAATTTATTGGTCTTATCAAAAATACGAACGAAATGTTTATTAAATTTTCTTTTAATTTTATCAATTCTCCACAAACGGGGAATTCGAGGACTTTTCCATACAACGTGAGTGTTGCCAGTTGTTGAAAGCTTGGTTGGTAGTTTATAATCAAAAATAATATGCGGTAGGTTTGAAAATAAACATAAAACTTAATAGGTATAAACTCATAAGCAAGGTGTTGATGAAGCATTAATCTTTAATCTTTAACGGATACTTTCTTAATAAATTTGAATTGTGTACTCGTAAAAAACACGTTTTTACGTGTTTGTTTTTCAAGGTTTTCTTTTCAAGATAGAAAAAAATCTTGCATCTCTACATGTGATATGACTGGTGGCTAATGCAATGTAATCAAATTACAAAAATAGAACTTGTCGTAATTCAAGCATATCTATATCCGTGTATTATATTTCATTTGAACTTGTCCATCTTAACTCAGTTATCTCATTTAACAATGTAAAAAAACATCCTCTGTAATGTATTGAAGTAACAATTGTTACTGTTGATTCAACTGTGTACACAGCGCTGACAATCTCTTATTTCTAGTCTGATCATCGTCTCCGTCGAGTTTGTTATAAAATAAAGACTGTTTGGTGATCATGCTACAGACGAAGGTTACGCCTAATATACTTCCCAAACTATGTCTATAGTTTTGTAAGTATAAAGGCGCTATTTTTTCTTTTGAGCACTATTTAACACTAATTGTAAAAACAAGAACACACATCACCTTACTCGGTAGGGATGTTCGCCGTGTCTAAAAGCTGAATCTAAGGGACTACATTGAAACCGTAATCGAAACACCTTCATGAAAACTCGGAGACCTAGATGCGGAATTTTTACACCTAATCTACTGTAGTTACTAGACGCAAGTGCGGTCCTGTGAGGTCTATACAGGGCGATGTTGCCAGGGCTCCCGATTTAAATAAAGGAGATCTCCTGATTTTTTTACAATACGATTTTCTTTTTTGAATTGCGTTGAATTGCATTTTCTGCTATTTATAATGTAGGTAGCCTTAATTATTATAAAATAAATGTCTATAAAATAAAATTACGATCAAATAACGATGAATCATTATAATATATAAATCTTGTATTATTAAGTAAGTAGGTGCTAGTTAGTAAATACTTTGTAATTATAATGTCAGTTTTTGGAAACACGGAAAAGTCAAAGAAATGTTCCTGAACAAAAACTAAATTTCATGATTTTCATTTCATTTAAAAGCTATGTTATCCCTCCGTGTGATAATGTTGTGAGACGAGCTGTATAATATAGGATATAGCAATTGCTCGCACCTTTGGAATGGCTCCGCCAAAACCTTACTCAGTTCTTTAGGTGTGTTAAAGCGGCAGTGACCCGCATCATTGGCGATGAGGAGGTGACGGAACACCTCGAGCTCCTTCAATAATACCGTGATGTGACGTCACTAAGCGCGTTCTATCGTCTTTACCACGGCGAGTGTTTTGAGGAGTTTATCTCCCTTATCCCACCTTCGCCTTTTCAGCACCACAGGTACTGGTCTACGTTACCACCGGCTTACTGTGACAATAATTCCAAAAATTTCTTTCAACACGAACAAAGAAATGTAATAACTCACTTCTTTGTTGTACTATTTCGCAATTGAAATTCTTTGCCCGCGCACGTTATTCCTGCTTGCTACAATGAGGAGTACTTTAAAAGCTAGAAGAAGCAGTTCTGTAGACCGGCAAGGTGAGGTAGGTTAGTGTGGCAGTTCATAACTGCTGCACCAGCTATCTTCAGGTCTGGTCTTACCACCACTCAACATCAGGTGGAAATTATTGGTAGAATCATTTGCCTACCTAGCTTTAAAAAAATACTGTAGTCTATTTACATTGGCGTGAGATAAAATGTAAACAAACCATAAAAAGGAATTTTTTTAAGGTCACGTTTGAGAAAAGTAAAGATTAAATACTATTTACATAGGAAATGCAGGGAAACATTAAGTTAATTATTAAAGTTAAATATTAAGCTGGTACATACATATGAATGAGAAAATTAAATATTTCGCACATATTTAACGTACACATCATAAATTCGTATATTTTTATTTTGCTGATAAAAGTATTTTAACAACTTAAATTGACATGGAAAAAGACCTAAAACACAATCATTCCCAAACTTAAGACGTATTATAAAACGACAAAATTTAATAGTAGACATGATGTTAGTATTTTATGTTGAAGTATTGTGTTTTGTCATCGGTTGATTTACGTTAGCCATCTTTACTCTCCCGATCAACCTGATGACGCGAGCGTACATATTCTATCATATTTGTTAAATTCTTGTTATTTCTTTGTTTTATTTGTTGAGTTTGTTGTTATTTTTTTCTGTTAAGTTTAAAGTTGTTAATAAATTATAAGTAACATAAATTATACGTATTAATTGACTAGTAGGTACTTTCTGACATTTTAAAAGTTTTAGAACCTCCGATTCTTTGTTTACATTTTGTCTCACGCCAAAGTGAATGACTATAACTGCGTTAATTGTCATAACTGCTGCATCAGCTATCTTCACTGCTAGACTTTACCACCACTTAACATCAGGTGGGAATTATTGTTAAATCATTTGCCTACCTAGCTATTAAAAAAAATAACAACGGGGTTAATTGGGACTGCTAAAGATGTATTTGACTTTATTAGTTTAAGTGCATACCTAAATTAGAAGTCGATATTGATCATGTTGATCATCAAAAACTAAAAGTGACTCAGTAATCATTTTAAATGTATGTTTCTACTTACCTACCTTAAAAAATCCGCTAGCAAATATATCAACAGAAGAAACACAACAAACACTGAAAGTGCAGATAGGATTACATTAAAGCAGATTCTTTGCTTCTTCATTTTGCACGATGATTTATCACTAAACCACTATTTGCCAACACTGATAAGAAAAGCCTACATTTAGGTTTCCCGGCATGGACAGGTGATTTTAATAGTTAAAAAATATAAATATTACTTCGCTATCTAAGTACTCTCGCAACGCAATTAATATGTCTTATTGTCTGATCATCTATCTACACTGGGCACATACTAGTTTGATGATCATAAAGATATGAGGAATTGTTGATAAAGTAAAATACCCGATTTAGACAACTGATTTTAATAAGTAAGATAATCAAGAAAATCTCAATAGGATGGTATATGCATGTAATTCAAATAAGGCCCATTATTTTCTTAACAAAGGATTTTCTTTATAACCATACCCTAAACATCCAAATTCCACACATTTAGACATAAGAGGGGAGGCGGGCAATGTTTTTTTCCATACAAACGTTCTCACCTGATTCCTCCTTGATTTTTATCACTAAGGAATTGATTTTCATACAACATAAAATACAATTTTACTCATGTCTTTTCTTTTATCGATAAATTGAGTTTTAAATTATCTAGAAACACTTGAAAAAGCCCAAAAATAAACGAATTTTTATCACCACTGAAGCCGTCTATTGTGGAGATTTAATAAGCATTTACTATAAAATGCATAGCATAGAGACATAGTATAACTACTAATTATTCTTTGTGTAACATTTCTGTCACATATATCTAATTTGCGATGAAGGAATCGTCGAGAGCCAAACCTCGAATTTCGCAATCTTATACGCAATTTTCAGCGTTAACCACTGTTGTCCTTATCGCACTGTTTTTGCCAATACGTGACAGCAATAGATTTTTAAAATACATAGGTATATCTCAAATGTTTCTCAGCTCGCGTCCGCTCCACTTAACAGTGGAATATCCGAACAAATACACTTCCGGACACATCTATCGGCCCACTTAGTGTTTCAAGTTTCAACGGTCTGTAGCAAAAATACGATTAAGTTAAGTTGAGCAATAATAATACATTATATGTATTTTTAAAAACACACAAATAAGATGGTTGATAAATCAGCTTAATCGTCAAAACTTTTTGCTCAAAGTAACATTACTTTTGGCTAGGGATCGTCAAAACCTTATAGGCCAAAACTTAAAATGCTAGGTGGGCCTATAGTTATATCCGGGAGTATATTTGATCTGAGTGTGGAACAAAGAAACGCACATACAAACTTTTACACGCGTCATGACTTCTGAAAACATTACACTCTTTTTTGGCAGTCGTGTAAAAATCACAATGAGCGGCGTTACGCTGGTGGATGTGATGACGTCATGACAATCCATTTTTACAGACGTACTTGTGGTTACAAACCTTATGCTCCTACCCATCTGCAGTTAAAGTATTGCATTTCTTTCATCTGGATAACAACATAAAAGTTTTAAACCTTCATGGTCACTCATAGGCCAGTCATTAAAGACATCGTACACTTTCGACCTCGATCGATTTCTTAGGTCTTAGGAATAATGTAAATACTAATTTGCAGCTTCGAAAGACCTGTGCTACCTGCGTGGCGCCCCAAAAACCTCGAAATTTTCAATCTTTTCTTAGCTTCTCGGTTATAACTTTTTAAAGGCGCATCCTATCCTTAAATTCACTTTAAGTAACAATCTATAACATTTTAGTTATAAGCGGGACTGCAATTATTCCGTGATTAGTCTTGATTTAAACCTATAGCTATCTTTGCCTTATTTTTAACAATTAAAAAGTGACAGCTTCACATTTTAATCTGGTTTAACTTAGTCAAGGTATTTCAATAAGGCGAAAACAGTCTTATTACAAAATAACTTCAAAAATCAGACACTGTTTTAAATCTTGTTTAGGATTTTTTTAATGACATATTTTCTTAAACTCGTTATGAAAGCAGAAAGTCCAACTTTTTCGTGGTAGTACGTTTTTTTTTAAAGTAATCTTTTGTTTTTACTTCGACGCAGAGTTTACGCGCTACTGTCCACGTTCAAGTACTGTGCATGGTTGTATCGTGTTACTAGATCGAAGAGACATGAAAATATGCTTTATAAAAATTATAATATTAAACTGGTTACAGGAAAAAAATAATACATTATTATCCTTTAAATGTAAAAAAGCGCCATCTACTTTGTTTGGGTGAAATTTAAATGCACTCAACAACTTTACCGTCTGGGCCGAGCACTTTCAATAGTTAGTTCTAAAGCATTCGGCTAGATGTCGTTCAATCAAGTTGTAAAAATTAAACAATTTTCAGTGTGTGGTAATTCCAAGTTAAAGTCGATCGACATCCTTTTTAGGCAAAGCTAAATTGATACAGCAACGTATTACTTGATTTACCAACTATTGATCGTCAAATTTACATTCAACGAGGAGTCAGGAATGGGGTCACGGTCAGTAATTCATGCAAATTCTTTTGCTTACTTCGATACGCGAAGTCTTCACCATTTCCACTCACTTTGATCATTCTAGATATCTTGGACTCGACAAAAGCCTTTGCTTTTTAAGGTTTTTTTTTTATACGTGGGTAACACTGAAAATGTTTAGAACTGGCCAGTTAGAAAAATTGATTACGAAAACTTTTTTTGAATTTCAATTTTTTAAACTCTTTGGTAACCTAATGAAGTATATAGCATTCATTTGTCTCTGTGAATCTAAAACTCTTGTTAGGTACACGTGAAAATGAACCTAAGGCGAGAAAATTTTCGGTCAATGATTTATTATGACTTTCGTTGTGGGCTTACTCAACAACAAAGCTATGATAGGCTGCGATTAGCATTTTTTAATGAAGCCCCATCTCGTGCCACTATTTACAGTTGGTTTAACGAGTTTAAGCGTGGACATAGCAATTTCAATGATGATCCGCATGAGGGACGTCCTTTAACAGCGACTACTGAAGATAACATCAGTGCTGTGCGACGCATGATAGAGGAAGATAAGAGAGTGACCTATCAGCAGATACGGGCAAACCTAGGCATTGGTATGAGTCAAGTTCAAAAAATATTACACGAACATTTAGGCATCAGGAAGTTTTGTACCAGATGGATTCGCCATACTTTAACCGACGACCAGAAACACCTTCGCATGGACTGGTGTCGTCAAATGTTAGATAAGTTCAACGGCGGTGACTCAAATGCTGTATTTGGCATCGTCACAGGTGATGAAAGCTGGATATATTGCTACGAACCCGAAACTAAAAGACAATCAGCTGTTTCGTTTCGAGGATCGGCCAACTAAGGTAAAGAAAGAAAGAAGTCAAGGAAAAAAGATGATTGACTCATTCTTTGGTCGGGAAGGTCATTTCGCGACAGTTGTGCTAGAAGATGGAAGGAGAGTTATTGCAGGAAAAAATTCGACAGCAGCGCCCTCGAAGCAGGATCGTCCTTCACCACGACAATGCTTCAGCGCACTCCGCAAAGCGGACTGTTGAAGTGTCGAGATAATGTCCTGCAGCGACTTTCATTTATTCCCAAGAACTAAAGATAAAATTCGAGGTATTCGCTTAACGAGCCCTGGCCCTTACTGAGGAGCTCGATGGCGCCAGTGGTTAGCGTGTTCGGCTGCGGTCGTTAAAGTTGAACAACTTTCGCAGTGGTCGGTCAGTGGATGGGTGACCAAAAAATTTACTATCTCGAGCTCCTCCGTGCTTCGGAAGGCACGCTAAGCCGTTGGTCCCGGCTGCATCTACAGTCGTTAGCACCCACCAACCCGCACTGGGCCCGCGTGGTGGGTCACGGCCCAATCTCCCTAATCCATCCATAGGGACGGCCTGTGCCTCAGCAGTGGGGACATTAATAGGCTTATGATGATGATGATGAGCCCTGAAGATGCGGTGAAAGCGTACGAAAATGCCATAGAAGAGACCCCTAAGGAAGAATGGGCCCACTGCTTTTCTCAGGGATTTCATCGAATGCGACGATGTGTAGAGAGGAACGGATATTACTTCGAAAAACCATAAATGTATTGGCAACTTTCTACATTAAGCCGTTTTTTTCATTTTCTAAACATTTTTAGTGTTACCTAGGTAAGCTAGATCAGCAATGTGTGAATTATAAAAGTTAATAGAATTGTGTTTTCTTAAACTTAGTTTTGTTTCCTATGTCGAATTGGAATTTTTTAAATCTATGAGCTAGCTATGGGTATCTTTCTTAGTAGCTAACCAAAAGACGTTATCATGCCTGCCAGACATAGTTTTTAGGGTTCCGTAGTCCTGACAAGGAACCCTTATAGTTTCGTCATGTCGGCCTGTCTGTCCGGTCCCGGTTTTGCTTGGAGACTAAGCACTAGAGAGCTGTAATTTTGTGGAGATATGTACTCGTATATCAGTTATGCCGACAAAATGGTAGCATAAAATTAAAAATATCTTTTTTTTTGGGGTACCTCCTGCATGTAACCTGGAGATGATTTAATTTTTTTAGTCTACCTCATCGTGTCGGGTATCGTTGAATAGGTCCTTTAAAATGATTTAGGGGTTCCTAAAACTATTTTTCGATTTAGGGATCCGTTTGCAAAATGTTGAATTTTAAAGTGCGAATTTTTGTTCGAGTAGTGCGTCCCCACCTGTCTAGAAGCTAAACTATTGACTTGAAAATAACAATGCTTTTCATGAACTTTTAAGGAAAATTAAAACGGTTAATATAGATTTGTTAGTTTAAGAGATATAGTCGTTCAAATAAAAAATCCTTAGAAGAAAATATTAATAGTGACAGACGAAGTAATTGCTTATAATCACTTTTTCCAAAATATGTGGTGATGACGAGCAACTACGGAATCCTACACTGCGCGTAGCACGATACGCACTTGGTTATTGATTAAAAAACACATTAGAAAAATAATAAATTAAATATAAATAACATAATTAAATACATTAACATCAAACTATTGATGTCCTCTCTTATGGACACTCATATGGCACAGGTCTTACTTATGAATGGAATATCAAGATTGGGCTGCGTATGACTCACCACGCAGACCCAGCCCATTTGTGGGTGCTTACGACTGCATATGCAGTCGGGACCAACGGTTTAGCGTGCCTTTCCAATTCACGTAGGCAACCGAGATTATAAATTCTGGTAACCCATCCGATGATTGGCCCTTGCGCAAGTTACTTAACTTCCACGATCGCTTACTCGACTGTCATGTTCAGAGTTCATGCATAAATTACCAACGTTTAAAAATGAAACGAGATAATACTTGAATAAACTTTATTAGAAAAAACTATATTTTTCTCATTTTGACTTCATCGGTCCTTTTCATCCGTGAATGGTTCATAGTCATCCTATTTCAAAAGAAAATTAAAAAAAAACAAATAAGTATTAGGTATATTGAAATTTACTTTACATTTCATCGTATATTTTCATAATTCATTTGCTGACAACTAGTATTTTGCTTAATTTGGCAATTACATTCCTGCATAGGTATTCTGTAAGATGCAATCTCACTTACGATATAATTTATTCGGACTTCTGGTAAATATCTAATATTGGCTGCTTCTACGAAGTAAGCGACATTTTACCGTGTAATGGCGTCTAACTCATGTCTAAAATGGCAGCTATCGAAATCGGAAGTGAAATTTTATGTTACAGAACCGCCCTACAGAGCTTCTGCTTATTTGCATCACTATCACTCACTGATGACATTTGACATTTAAACATTATTAAAAAAACATAAATAGACTGGGCGTTAAGGACGGTGAAGACCGAATTCCACCAATGGATTTCAGTTAAATTATGGTCAAAAATTTATAAGTGGATCTTGCCGGAAAAATTTAAGTAATATAATTATCTTTATTTTATTTACTTATTTATTTTATGGGATGATATTTATTTTTTAAAAATCACTCGCATTTTTTATATGTATTTTACATCATCATGAGCCTATAAATGTCCCCATTGATGGGGTACAGGCCTTCTCTAAGGATGGAATAGGGAGATTGGGCCACGCGGGCCCAGTGCGGCTTGGCGGGTGCTAGCAACTACAGATGCAGCCAAGACCAACGGCTTAACGTGCCTTCCGAAGCACGGAGGAACTCGAGATAGAAGATTTTTGGTCACCCGTCCAACGATCGGTGCCGAACGCACTTAGGTTCGAGTATTTTTCATATTTTCCATTATTTTGCATTTTGTTTGGCGTTCGGGCGTCATTAGGCGCTGGCTGAAAATCAGCGCTGCTGTGTATTGCGAAAGTACTACCAAAGTAGCATAGCTGAGACAGCGACCTGTTGGCCCTGCATAGCAACACCTTAAATTAGTTTTCTTGTTTTTATTTATTTCTTTCTTTGTTGTTATGATTTTCTCTTCTGCTTTGTTTTCAATGTATGCTGTGTAACTAGGGTTGCCAGATGGTATCCAAAAGGAGGACATGTCCTCCTTTTTCACATTTTGTCCTCCCGTCCTCCTTTACCTACCGTATGTCCTCCTTTTGCTCTATAGTCGTTAGTTCGTGCTGAAAATGCCGTGCGCCATGCATGCATCGCCAGAGGTCAGACGAGCGTCCGTACCGGCTGGTGGTGTGGCGACGTATGAATGAGTGTCTGTCACCCCCCGCTCCGGGTCTTCGGATGTGTCGAGCATGCGCGCGCTACATTCGCGCCGGATGTGCCTACGCAGTACGCGCTCGCTCAACTCGTTACTCGACTCGGGACTCTGGTGACGAACGGGCAGGCTCTTGAGTCTCGAGTCTCGACACGCGCAGACACGCTTTTTTATTATTGAATTGGTTGGTTTTCGTGCACGCTCATTGCGAATTCGTGTGATTTACAGATTTACTATATAAATATAGTTGACGCTTCTTGCGCTCATTAATTTACTAGTCATGAGTAAGCGGAAATGTAAGTTTACGGAAGTATTAAGAGCCAAATATCCATGTTTTACCAAGGGACGAGATGATTTTGACGCCAAATGTTCCATTTGCGACTGCCATGTGGATGTAAGCAACAAAGGCACTATTGCTTTAGAACGGCACGTAACGACAGAAAAGCATAAAAAGATGATACGAGCAGCAAGTTCGTCTTCCAAGGTCACTAACTATTTTCAATCTCCTTATTCAATGACTCACCGAAATATTCATGCTGCAGAAGGAGTACTAGCCTTCCACACGGTAAAACATCATCAGTCATACAATTCTATGACATGTACAGCGAGCTTAACGAGAAAAATGTTTACTGATTCTGAAACGGCAAAAAATCTTAAATGCGGAAAAACTAAGACGGAAGCTATAATAAATCAAGTTGTTGCTCCACATGCCATTACGACTATAATTGAAACTTTGAAGAACATTTCGTGCCTTTCCGTCGCCACAGACGCCAGCAACCATGGTGCAGAGAAACTATTTCCTATAATGATTCAATATTTTAACTGGACTGGAAATGGAATCGAAACAAAACTTCTTGATTTGCAAAGTTTACCAAATGAAACTTCGCTCTCGATTGCACATCTTGTATACGAAACGCTTAATACGCATCAATTGACCCCAAAGTGTGTGGCATTTATTGGCGATAATGCAAATGTGAATTTTGGAGGTATCAACCGAAATCCAGGTCAAAACGTTTTTACGCGCCTTAAAGAAAGTTTGAAGAAAGAAAACCTCATAGGAATTGGCTGCCCAGCACATATTATGCATAACAGTCTTCGCCACGGTGTCGATTTGATGAAACTGGATGTTGAGTCTATAATATTGAAAATATTTAATTATTTTTCTGTGTACACGGTGAGAACAGAAGCACTAAAAGAGTTTTGCGATTACGTCGAACTCAATTACCAGCCTTTGCTAAGACACAGCAAAACAAGGTGGCTTAGCTTGTTTCCGTGCATAGAAAGAATTCTGAAGCTCTATCCAGCATTAAAAGAATATTTCTTAAGCCAAAGAATATCACCATACATAATAAAGACATTTTTCGAAAGCTCAACTTCAGAAGCATATTTATGGTTCACGCATTCTCTGATGTCTATTTACCAAGCAAATTTGGCGAAAGTCGAAGAAGAACATAATTCCCTTCTCGAAATTTCAAAGATACTTCAATCCGTACTGCGCATGCTTCAAAATCGAAGAAACGACAAGTTTTTGCCACTACGGGTAAGGCAGCTACTTCGTGACAACTGTGGTGAAAATGAAGAGGCCGAGTCCATTTCCAACGAATTTTTCAGTGTTTACGAGGCTTGCGAAAATTATTTAAAGGAGTGGATAAAACCCTTTGACGATTTCAAATGTTTTGAGTGGATGACGGTGCTGAAAGAGAACGAAAACCTAAAGTATGAGGCTTTAGTTCCATGCATTGAGTTTTTGAGCATCAGAGGTGTTGAAATTGACGATGCTAAATTACATGATCAATTCTGTAGTTTCATTTCATTTCTGAAATCGAAATCAGACGGTGATTCTGCTGATAAATATTATGATTTGAAGCTATACGAGCAATGGACAATGTACTTCAAAAGTGCTAAAAACATTGAATATTTCTCAGAACTGCTTAAAATCTGCGAGTTCTATTTTTCAATAAGCGCACATAACGCGAACGTAGAAAGAGTTTTCTCACTGATCAATACTCAGTGGACTAAAGAGAGAAACAGATTGAGCGTGGAGTCAGTTAAAGCTTTAATTTTAACTCAATATAACTTTAAAAATATGTCGTGTGAAGATTTTTATAATTATTTGTTAAAAAACCAAGAACTCCTTACAAAAATTGGCAGCTCGGCGAAATATGACGATTAAAATAAAGTGAATTATATAAAAAATTTGTTTTGTTATGAATGTCCTCCTTTTTTAGAGAAAATCCTCCTTTTTAGGCCCGTCAGTCCTCCTTTATCAAATTGTCATCTGGCAACCCTATGTGTAACCAATAAATATTTTTCTTTCTCTCGTTAAAATTTTCGGTCCATTTTTTCCCATCTCTACTCTTATTTGTAAAGGGAAATGTATTGAGTACATAATATTAAATCATTTTAATGATTACTTCAGTTATAATTTATAGTTTTTTTAATGGTAAAAGTGAGGATGGAATCTTGAATAAAAAGAAAACGAATCATATATTATCAAATATATAAAATTCTCGTGTCACGGTGTGCGTAATTGAACTACTCCGAAACGGCTCGACCGATTTTCGTGAAATTTTATATGCATATTCAGTAGGTCTGAGAATCGGACAACATCTATTTCTCATCCCCCTACATTTTAAGGATGTTCCACTCTTAAATTTTTTTGGACAATTTTTTTTATGATACATCATACAAAAATACATATAATCCTACATTTTCACCCTTCTACTATTTTTTATGGCGGTACGAAGTTCGCTGGGACAGCTTGTTCATTTATAAAAATCAAACGGAAATATACGTTTAGGGGGCAAACAATTAAGTACTCATTTTTATTTAGACATTTTAGCACTAATGCTGCAAAATATGCTCTAGTAAAAGAAGACTGCGAGATGTGTATATTTGTGGTGGATTCGACGATCTAGCTAAATGTTTCAAGATGCAATGATATGTATTTTGTGAGATATTGGAATTACTATCAAGCCCCTAGAAGCTGATAGAGTCTGTGCGGAAAGAGAATGGGCGCGGCGAAAAACGCAATTAACATTAAGATTTTTATTTGGCAATCAAACCCAGCAATCTGTAAAACGTCAAAATTTTGTATTGATACGGATTTGTTTGTTGTTGTGATTTCTTGCGGTTGTTTGTATTTAATCATGTCTAAAAGGGGTAAAACCTTACAAATACGGTAAAAAAGCACTACAGCGCCCTCCAATCTAAATCCCATTCTCTTTCCGCACAGACTCTATAAGAATGTTTTGGCTCAAATCCCACCTAGTAAGGATTCAATCTGTTCATATTATTATGATCAGCGCAGATACAGATGTATAATTGTAGTAGTATTATGAAGTGTCTTGGGCAAATGGTTCGATGGTTCTCATACAAAGAAATATTTTGTAGGATGCCATTTCGCTGCTTTATCCCTGGGTGAAAGCATATGCGATATTTTGCCAGCATTACATGGCCTTGGCAACCTTGACCTACAGAAAACCATTTGACTGTATTTCTGTTTAATTTCGCTGTTACCAACCTATATATATATATATTTACATTTTTTATAATTTATTTAATATTACATTTTCGTTTTCGTTATCATTCAATAATCCATCCTCACTTTTACCATAAGAAAAAAATCGGTTGTCTGTAAAGTCGGTTTACTGACGATAGTTGAACGTGACAACGTTTTTTACAATGTACATAGTTTTTACAAGTATGAATGTGCTTTGAGCAATTGTTTTCCAACTTTCATTAACAACTTTTAAACATGTGTGATATCATTACCTTTATCGCCGCAATTATCGTTGCTATAAACAATTGACACCACATTCACTAATCACCGCACTTCATACTTGACGAAAACATGACAATGTATTATTGTATAGCATCGCTCACTCAAGTAGGAGAGAGACACATGTACAACGCTGCCGAATGCGGAGGCCGATTTTGCCTCTTTGTCGCTCGTTGCGTGCTCTCGCTTTCCCTGAAAGTCTTAAATGGAACGCCTCAGAGCGAGGTAACGCTGCTTGAGTCATGTTTTTTTCGGGCGTGCAGCCGGCTCCATCGAATTATAAGACGTTGTCACGTCAAAACTATAAATTATAACTTGAATAATCAGTAACTTTCATAATCAGTAATTTTCATATTATGTGAAGTAAATGAGTGATTTAATAATTATGTACTATGTACATTCCCTTTACATATAAGAGTAGAGGGGATAAAAAAAATTTGACCAAAAAATTGACCGGCAATATTCACATTATTAATCATTGAACGTATTTTAACTCAAATTCTTTGGTGGAATTCGGTCGTCACATTTTATCTACTATATAAAAATAAGTCGGGTTTTCCTTCCTGACGCTATAACTCCAGAACGCACGAACCGATTTCCACGGTTTTGCTTTCGTTGGAAAGGTCTCGGGCTTCGTGAGGTTTATAGCAAAGAAAGTTCAGGAAAAAATAAAAAAAAAACTTCTTTTAATCACCAAACGAAATGTTACATAAAACGAAGCCATCTGGTGGCGAAACGGAGTTCGCCGGGTTTGCTAGTATACTCTAGATACTACTTCCAGCGCATGCACTAAAATATGTTATTTGTGATTTGATGATAAAAAACTATTCAAATTTAAAGCTAAATCTAAAATATTAATATTCTATATTAGCACAAGACTTTTCCAAGCCACTTATAATATCACATGAACTACTTATAATTAAAAAAAAAACGATTGTCTACTATGCGAGCAATCAAACATTAAAGGTATTCTAGACGGATGTAATCCAACGTTCCAACCAAGGTGACCTTGGTGGGAAGTTGGTTTCCATCCGCGTTATGATTTTCGGCTACACGGATGTAATCCACGCGCCAACACGCAGTCGCAGGCCGTCTTCTGGCGTGAAAACACGTATGCACTTATATCATGCGCGGACTGTATGAGTAACCGTGTTGTAGAAATGGCTCCAAAGTCTAAATTTCAAAAAGTGGGCATTGCCTTAGGAGATTTTTGTGCAATAGACGACGAAAAACAACACAAAAAGAGAAAGTGGATGAAGCGTTGGTTAAAAGAGCGAATGATTCTCAGCCATTCAAACTTATGTCCAACTCCCTATACTTTTCGAGTAATATCTCCCACGCATTTTTTTTGACGAGCATCTTTATATGATTCCGACGTAATGTCCCATAAGCATGGGAGATCTCTATAGAGATCAATTAGTTCGCAAGTAATATAGCATTCGCGACTCTGGTCTTCGGACGACATTTTTACATGCGTACGTGCGCACCCGCTGACTGCCACAGCGCAACTGTCTTTGGTTGGATGTAATTCGACGGCAAAAAAGTTATAATCCACGCGCTCCAACCGCGGATGTAATCCACGCGCTTCAACCGCGGATGTAATCACGCGCCTGTAATCCAAGGACGCTGAAAGTCAAGTCAAAATTTGGATTACATCCTTCGTCTAGATGGATGGCAACGGGCAAGGTCACCTTGGTTGGTACGCTGGATTACATCCGTCTGGCATAAGTCTAATACGTCAATGATTATGCCCTATTAAGTATAAATCAATTAATTAAAAGGTGGGCGGGTCTATAACTCTGTATTACCAAAATCTAATATCGTATCCCTTGGATGCTATTAAAAGTTATGTTTATTTTATGTACGGAGATCAAAGAACATTTATTAGTCCCTTACTTGCCTTGCTCCAGGGTTCGCAAACAACATAGTTTCAACTTCGATACTGTGTATGATGAAATTTATTAATTTAATTTTCGACTTCTAATTAAAACATTTGTCAGTAGCTTGGTATCGAAATAGTTATGGCAAGACTTGTGGTAGGACCACAAGTTTATTAAGTCATTTTCTTAAATGATATGACTGTGATAATGTGGTAATAGACCCTATAGTTGTCATTTACTTTGTTTATAATATATGTTATTGAAAGAATGTTAGTAGGTATGTTATGGAAAGAAGACACCTTACAGCCACTTCTATGGTGTGAAATAGATATATCTTCATTTTAGGATTATTTTGTATGAGAAACCTTGACCAGTAAAACTCTATACGTAAAATATCGATCAAGTTAAACCTACCTGATGGAAAAACCACCAATTTCTTATGTCATCATCAAGGTGTTTTAACTGCTTGAATTTTGCTGGTAGGAGGTCCTCGTGGTTAAGTGCATCAGGGCTAATCTTTACGTGATTGAATGCATTCTGAAATCAATAAGCATCACAATTCACCAATCCATTATCTTATGGAATGATTGACGTTTATGATTTAGTTAGTTATACCATGTTTTGTTTTGCATTATAATTTTTCACCCAAGTTATTGATGAATAACAAAATTACCCTATTAAAAGTTACCTTACCAAAGGTTTTTCTACGCTATATCGAACGCCAATTGATCGACGACAATTAACCGAAATCTCGATATATCGATTTGCCATTTGATCGAATGATAAATAATCGATAGATCAATATCAATACAAAATAGAAAGTTATGGGCAGTGGTAGTCTGCATTGCTATGAACATGAACAAGATGCAATGACATTTATAGATGTTCGCCTTTACGTATTGCGGTTCGCGGCTTATTATTCTAAAATGCAATCTGTAGAACTCTGAAGACATTTAATATCATGGAATTTGGCCATTAATCATGTGGAATCTGACATAAGGGTAGCAGTTGCTACTTCTAAAGTAACGGCCAGGTTGCAAGAAAAAATTTGTAGATATATTAAGACTTTGGATTAAGATGTTTCAGGGGCAGAATGACTTTATTATCTAAAAATTTCCGCCAGACAGTCAGTTATTATTCTTATTTTTTTATTTTTTCCACAGAGAGAAACACTTAATTACTATTTTCTGCCAAACTGCAATGCAGTTTGTCGGCAGCAGTTCCCGTGACACATGTATTTATCGTTTTCCCTATAATTGTTTGTCTTATCTATTAGTACTACACGTAATAAATACCCAAACCTCACATTTTTCCGATATAAAAGTATTCTTTTTGTCTCAATCCAGTTGATAAACTTTTGCATGCTAAATATAATAAAATTCCATTCAGCAGCTTTTGCGCGATTGAGTAACAAATAATGTAATATATAAATTAAATATTAATAAGATAGTTGGATTTGACATACATTAATAAGCTCGGCATGGACATAGTGATAGGTAATGTTTATTGCTTAAGACTATTCCTAGAGGTCACATCTTTAGTAACATCTTCCGGGAATTCATTAATTAAGGTGGGCACCATTCACCGTCTTTCACGTTTTCCATAATAACTGGGATCCTTTAAAAGAGGCGTGAAGAAGCAACATGCAGGCCGGCAGGGTGAGGATGGCTGGTGTGGCAGGTAGAACTGCTGTATCAGCTATCTTCGCGTCTGGACTTCACCTTCACTTAACATCAGGTGGGGTGGAGTAATTTGTCGGACCTATCTATAAAAAAAAAAAAAAAAAAAATATTTATTTTGGGTATTAACAGCTGTTTATTTTTCTTTGCTAAGAGAGTTGGAATTCCAAGATCCATTACCATTGAAATAAGGGCTTGCATCTAATCAAGTTTGTAGCGCCATGTAATGAATTTACAGATGGCAGCAAAATATGAGAGTGAAATTGTCAGATTGCCTTTAAATGAATTTAAAACCAAATTGTACAAATGGTTAGTCACAAAATGCTATTATGCTTTTTCGGACTAATAAACAAATTTTAATAATTTGCCTAGATATTGTATAGAATACATGAATTACTTAAATTAAAAAGAAAATGATGTCTTCTTTCAGTAAAATATCCTAATTTCAATATTTAATATACTTTCCTACACACGAAGTGTGACAAACCTGTGAGACGCCCTGTATAAATTTGGTCTACAGTCTACACCTTACAACAAAGAAAAACATAAACTAGCTCCCGATAGGCCGCTGAGGGGACGCTTAAATGGGTTCAATGGTTGATGAGTGTTGGGCCGCAAAAAGCAAAGGTTACAGAAATATTATAAATAAAGATCAATCTCTAAATGGAGATACCACGGTTCATACGCATACTGTACTAATTAAAAGGCAAGATGCACCGAATCTTCACTCGTGTGTTCCGCTCTTTGGCACCAAATTCTTAGGGGAGCATATTCAGTGCCTTCGCGCCGAAATTTAAACTTGTAAGTTGTCAGAACCCTACGTTACAAAGGCTTAGTATGGGGCTAGGCTAACAGTGGTGTGAGTATTAGAATTAATATTTTAAAATTAAAATTTTATAGTGAAACTTTTATTACATCGCCGCCACATTTTTTTTTTTTTACCTTTAGCAAGTCGTATTTCATCTTCGATTTTATTAAAAAAAACAGCAACACCACAATCAGCAAGCATCCATCGCTGAGTTGTGGAAGAAAGCACGCCTGCTACGCGGGCGGCCTGGATTCGAATCCCAGCCGAGGAAGGACTGTTTTTATTAACGATGTTAAAATTTCACTGCATCATGGTTTCATATAACCACACATTATTTTTGCATATTATTATACCTATTTAACCTATTTAAAATATCTTCTATTAACGGGAAATTTCACCACATTAAACGGAACAAATCCCAAGTTTTATTTTCGGAGTCCCTTTTTATATAATTTACCTTTGTTTGCCATAACATTGTAGTCTTATCAGGTTTTTCCATATTTTCTTCAGAATTTTTAGGATGCTTTTCATTTGGCCGTCTCTTTTCAGCGCTGTTTTTATAATTGTTATCTGAAAAATAGCCCTCTTCTCCATCACTATTGTTTATTTCAGGTAATGTCCTTAGAATTGGTTTCTTATTTTCCTATGGAAATGAATAAAATAAGTTCCTTTTATTATATTTATATTTTAAGCGTTAACTGCTAAATTAATATTAACTAAGGCAAAGTTTACTGAAGTAAATTCCACGCGGTCCAGGCGTTTCGTCCGGATAGCGGGAGATGTAGGTTCGAAAGCTGTCTGATGTCTGGACAGCGTGGATTTCTCCCTAGTAAAATTATCTCTAGATTTATATGTTCGCTTTTGATGGCCCATTTGTAGATTTAGCCCATACAAAGATGTCAATTTGACATTGAAGTTTTGACATTTTACTAATGGTAAAACCACTCGCGAAGTTAGCTGCAGTTATGCGAATACGACAGTGTAGAGAGGCACTTCTTTCTGATCGCTTCGTGCAACTTCGGCTCGTCTCGGACGACTTCCTATAATTGTCGGTTTTTGCGACCGAGGCAAAGGACTCGAAGTGTCCCGAAGTTCTATTACGAAGTGACGTACACCTTACTTCAGTACGCGGCATCACATGATATTGTACTGAGTGTACAGTGCAACGAAATCGGAAGTAATTTGAAGAATTATAGTAATTTATGTTATTTACGGGATTGTGACCATGTACCTTGTTTTTAGCGAGTTTCTGCAGGTACAGGTTACAATCCCGTTAATAGCATAAATTCCGTGAAAGTTTATAAAAATATATAGATTTAAGGAGATATTAATAAGCCTTTTATATTTCCTATTACTTTTTCCAAGTTATAATAAATTATAAATAAATAGTTATTAAAGCTTATATTCAGTTTCATGTTTGCTCTCTTTATAAAATAACAAAATACACCATAATTTTGTTCTGAACTGTGGTGTTTCAATTAAGATTTCAAAAAGTATGTAATTGGTAGATCGCACAGGGTTTCAACAGTAAACAGATTTTGGATCTAATCAAGTCGGCTACCCCTGCTTAAAGCCGGGTACTGATTAGCGAGCTGTAACCGTACCATGCGTGATACAGTACGAGGTTCTAGTGTGTACGCTTGTACCTCAGTTGTAAATGTCGGCTCGCTGCAAACTGCACGCGTACCGCTCGCAGCAGGTTAGCGAACCACGCCTGCGAGAGCCGCAAGTCTGTCCTGGGGGGGATAGGCTCGCATTGCACAAGCTCTCTGGATGCTGATGCCCCTGATGCTCCGGGACATCTTCATCGGGGTGAGTCCGTCCGCGGCCAAACACCTGGCGGGTACGCGGCCACTTGGTGACGGGTTCCACGACCACACCCGCCCTCTCGGCACGCACTAGGGGGACCGCGGTCCTCATAGTGCGTGTCGGGTGACGGTGCAGGAATATTGTCTGGTTTTTAGTGGCCCTGTTCAGGGCGTAGGTAGGGCCCTGTTCACATCAGCGAGCTCCAGGGCTGGCTGAAGAGGACAGGGAGGAGTCCCACATACCTGCTTCTCGCTCCCCCAGTGGTTAAAGGGTGCATAAGGCATTTTCCAGACACAAAAAAAAAGGTTAGCGAACCACGTACACACTAAGCCTTTTGGTTACAGTGCATGCAACGGTTACGATTACAGCTCGCTAATGAGTACCCGGATACGGAGAAACCTATTTAGTAATACCGTATATGATTACGAACCATATGACAGTAATTTGGACTGGACATAAGTCATATATGATTCATTGAACTGAATCAACTTCCTTGCAACTATAATGATGGAAATGATTCTGAATATCGGGTTTTTTCATTTAATTCCGAAGCATAAATTAAAGAATTAAGTACGCTTTTGCATAGCTTAAATAGCAAAAATAATAAATAATATTGTTAACAGTAATTAGGTAGCTCAGTATGGTACTTAACATAGACTCAATGTCTAAAAAATGCGTTTTGTAAGTCTGGTGAAATTTTAACATAATAAACAAAATTACCTTACCTTATATTTACGTGTATTCGATTTGGCTAGCTGCTCCATCCTGAAACGTTATATTGTCTAAACTATTATTCTAAAGATTTACCTATTTTAAAAATAAATTGAAGTCATTAATATACCTAATGACAATAAAGCTATATTAGTCTGTGTGCACGAACATCAAAGTGGTACTTTTAGAAAGCTGTGCTTAAACAAACTCTTTATAAGTATAATATTTGAAGTCTGGGTTCCTTAAACCTTTGGATCGAAGCAATGTTGTAATTTATTATTGGTGTTGATAACATGACTTTCGTTTTAGAATGTGGATGCTGTTGGTCGCAAATGGCCTTTACAGCGTTACCGGGTTTGGGGACGGCTAGATCCTAAGGGGACCTCAAGCCGAGAATGTATTATCACATTTTCAGTTAGTAGAAGTAACCTACGTGCAGTAGTATTATCTTCTATCTTAATAAAATATTTATATAGTTTTGAAGATCCTATTGCGTATATTTAATATTATATCTTTGTAATCAAAAAAATCAAGGATTTGTATGTTTGTAACAAATAACCTCACAAAATACTAGAGAAATTTCAAAAAATCTTTTACCATTAGAATATCCCTGCATAGGTATCACAGGATATATTTTATCGCATTCAAATTAAATCCCTTGTATAATGCCGGGGTGGATTGCTAATAATATTCACAGATTAAACTACCTAAAATAACAGTTTTGAAAAATTACATGTTTAGATAGCTCGGCTTCTGAATTATCTTCTTCCGCTTCTTTTTGTTATTGTCAGTTGATTTCAGTGATTTATATAACTGCATAATTTTGTGTTTTGTGCTGTGTTCTTTATCCTGGAATGAAATATTAATTGAATTCACCATAATCAACAGTTTTTTACATTGAAATAACATAGGAAGTAGTTGAATTAGTTCAATAGGTAACTTACTAGATCCAAAACCGCCGACGTCACAACGAACCTAAATTTTGTATTAACATTAATAAATGTTTCAACGTTTAGACCTACTTGCATCAACATATCATTGCGTCAATTACATAAAGTGAGAAAGAGGTAGAAATAGAATGAGGCTTAAGCATGATGAGCTTTTAAATTATATTTAATAAGTTTGGTGTAAGTGGGCCTCAAAATATTTTTTTTAAATGATAAAATTTATAAACTTACTCAGGTTTTTTAGAATTTGAATAGACAGGTACAACCTGGAAGCAATCACAGAATAGCTTTAATAGAAGCAGTTGTAATTACGTCAAAAATACTTTTATTTCAATTATTATTACTAAGCACTAGACACATTCAACATTTTACGGCTGTACACACAGACGTCAATTGAAAATAGTGCTTCATCAGGTCACGTGATACTTTTACACAGTGTTTTATAGAACCAAAAATATTTACACCTTAAGGTTTTTGCATAAATCAATTATTTAAACCCTAATAAAGGCAAGAGTTTAATTCCCAGATCACTATTTTAAGTAAAAAAAAAGATATGAAGTAGCAAAGTTTTTGAAATTTGCGCATGAAAAAATTAACAATTTAATTTCCTCAAAAGACGGTTCCATATTTGTCCATGAGATATTTGCCAATTGCTAAGGAATTATTGATGGCATAATTTTGTAATTTTATTTTATTTATAAGTGTCCTAGTTTCCAAGAAATATAGTTTTTTTAAATTTCGATTTTTAATTTTTTTCTCCAAAAATCGGCAAAAGTGGAACCTGGATTTAGTACAGAAAGGTTCTATAAGTCAAGTTCTATCACCCATAAAAAAATCAAGTTTCACTTTTGCGGTTTAAAGAAGTTATGACAGAATTTAGATAAAGGTCAACTTTCATGATCTAGGGTTGTCACAAAGGTCAACTATGAGTTAAATGAAAATGATTTTTTTTTGTTATTAATACCGTCAATCAATTGAATAAATTATATTATATTATAATTGAATAAGTGTTGTACTTATAGACGAATACAATATACTTACATAAACTACCTACCTAATGTAGATGTGATAATGTAGGAATACTTTATGTTTTAATTTTGACGACCACATTTTAATTTTGCCTTACACGCTAAATGGCAACGAAAAAATAAACTATGTTGTTTGAAAAAAAAATAACACACATCCTATACTATAAACGAGCAATTATTGTATGTACCTTTATAAATATATTGGTATGTAATTGGTTTCTCGGAAACGGATCTAACGATTGTGATGAAATTTTGGATTTAGAAATTCATTCACATTTAAAATCAATCTAGGATAGTGTCATCACCTGCCGGCACCTTCTTTATGCAACACCTCTACTTTAACTTTTATGCAAATAAATCATCTTCGTTTAATAATTCTAGGTTGCTTTCATTTGCGACGTTCGAAAAATCTTCATCTTCAGCATCTTCCTCTGCTTCGAATAACGGCAATCGATCTGTATCAATTGGTTGTAAGAGCTCGCAAACAGCTGAAGGCAAGGGAAATCCCTTAGAATATTTTCGACGTTGGCTGATATTTGCCATAGAAATAAACGGGTCTGATGTTTCTAGGGCACGGTGAAAGAGGTCCGTCATTGTGGTTCTCCTGTTCATTTTTCGGCAATGATGCTCTCTGTCTGAACGCTAGAATTTATTTCGGGACTCAGCTGCTTGTTCAGATAGCATACCGATGGGCAGTGCACTGGACGCAATAATTTCTTCACCGTGCATGAGGATTTTATGAACTGTTACTGTCATCGGGTGCCAACTATAAAAACGGACATATTTTTCAACTCTAGATCATGAAAGTTGACCTTTATCTAAATTCTGTCATAACTTCTTAAAACCGCAAAAGTGAAACTTGATTTTTTTATGGGTGATAGAACTTGGCTTATAGAACCTTTCTGTACTAAATCCAGGTTCCACTTTTGCCGATTTTTGGAGCAAAAAATTAAAAATCGAAATTTAAAAAAACTATATTTCTTGGAAACTAGGACACTTATAAATAAAATAAAATTACAAAATTATGCCATCAATAATTCCTTAGCAATTGGCAAATATCTCATGGACAGATATGGAACCGTCTTTTGAGGAAATTAAATTGTTAATTTTTTCATGCACAAATTTCAAAACCTTTGCTACTTCATATCTTTTTTTTTTACTTAAAATAGTGATCTGGGAAACCTTAAGGTGTAAATATTTTTGGTTCTATAAAACACTCGGTGTCAACCCTAGCATAAAAATTTAAAAATTAATATCTTCTAAACGCCGCAAAAGTGACACGTGGCTTATTTATGTATGATAGACCACATCTGTAGGTTTATGTCTATCTAAGTTCTAGGTTCCACTTTTTCGTTTTTAGGGAGAAAAAACAATAAATACGAAATACAAAAAAAAAATGCTGCTCCCAAACCAATGAATTTTTTTAAGCTAAAGAAACGCGTTTATACGCCTCTGATTATGCCCGATTGACACATATTTATTAAAAAAATATATTGGTAATATTCACTTTATAAAAAAATATTCTAGATTTCATAGGTCAAAGATCACGTTAAGTTCATGATTTTTTTTCTCAAAAAGTATTTGAGTTAGACTTCTGTAAATTGAACTCATGCCTTTTTTAGGGTATAAATAATCTATTTATGTAAGAACCTGAACATGTAAATTTTTTTGGTTCCATAAAACACTGTGCTTTAGCCTTCCCGTCATAGGTGCGATAATATCGGTCGAAAATATTGCGATATTTCTTCATAGGTACTTGTATTGCGTCGTTATTATCGCAGCAGTGTGTAACTTCGTAGCCATTCTACTACATATTGCAGTAAATACAGATATCGCAATAACACATCTAATATTATTAAGCGAAAATATGCGCCTATGGGAGGTAAGCTTTGTCTTATCTTTATCGCAAAAAATTAAATAGACATCTCTGATAGCCTTTAAGTGTAACTTACAACAGAGTTAGAAGATCAGATGGTGCAATGGCAGGGATAATTTCTCTTGCTTTAGAAGTCCATGGCTCGAATCCCGATGGGGGAGTTTGTTGATAGACACTAACTAATATTGTTTCTCAGTCATGTTTTACTTTACGTATTAACTTATCTCTGTATTTTATCTTCTATTTAGTATCCATTGTAGAAAATCTGCTTAGTTTTAGACTTTGGCTAAACTCCTTATCAGAATCTGGATTCATAAAATGAATTCATATTTTTAATTCAGAGTGCATGAAACTGTATATTATTTAACTACTATTCACATAAATTCTGATTATGTCAAATTATGAATGTGTCTAATTGATCCAACATTACCCTTAGCACGACCCAATATTGAATTCTAATAGTTGAATTCGATCTCCATACGAGTCAAAAGTCAAGAACTTTTGTATGGAACATTTTGAATTCGTGTTAAGTCCGTTGTGGCGCTGTTCAAATTTCCGTACAAAATATTTGACATTCGATGCATATCGAGATCGAATTTAACTATTCGAATTCGATATTGGTTTGTACTAAGGGTACTGATCAAACCATATATTAAACGGAATTTATAACACTTATGTGAATCAAAGCACCGGAATTCAGATCATGAATTTATATATTATGGATTCAGATTTGGATTCAGACTGTGTAAGACCAGCCGAATGGATTCTGGAATTTATTACATGTTTTAAGGTTCCCAAGTTCCAATACGCAGAGAGTATTAGATTTTTTTATTTGCTACTAGAGATACATTTTGATACCTACCATTAGGTAGTCTGAGAGCGCTCTACGGAATCCTGAATATAACACTCTCTTTTGTCTCCCATCATATCTGCGAATAAACACGGATATTATTATCATTTATTTTTTAATAAAAGGAAAAGAGTTCCAATTTGAAATGATAAATGAATCGCTTAGATTTAGTAGAACTAGAAAAGTAACGTTCACTTTACTGAAGAACACAGTAAAATAACAATTGCTTTTGGTGGTGTTGAGTTTCTGTCGGTGAATCGGTTGCAGACCTCCATTGGGTACGGGAATGGGATAGCGAAGGGAAAGGCGCTAGTGATAGCGTATCGCAAGCTTATAGCAATAGTCTATGGTGGCCGCTGAAAATCAGGCGGGCTTTTGGGGAGATTGCGAGTAGTTAAAAAGCCTTTTAATTTCCACTTATATTTCATTATTAAATTCAGTGACCAATATTTACCAAGTCCGAGCAAAAAGAGGAAGTAGACATTTTTTTATACAAAATAGATTTAGGCAAACACTTATGGATTAACAGCCTTGCTTAGAAACCTACTGGCCAAATAAGACCATATTAAGCATGTTTGCCACCCTTTCAACATTAAAACTGCCAATATAATACAATAGGGCTTAGGGCGCTCGTTAATAATACGGTTTTTTATTCGGGTAGGTGCCGGCTAACCTTGTTCACGAGCACGGTTTGCACCGACTTCAAACCGTCGCTACCGCCATTGTCGTTAAAAATATCCATAGTGTTCTATTTCTAACTGACGACCAGACATAGAAACGGTATAAAATCGTGCCTAGAGCCGGCGGTAAAACGCTTCGTTAACAACCGTCCTAAAGAATAACAATAGCAGTAGTATAACCATACTCCACCTGATTCCTATATTTTCGTAATTGCCGTACACTCCGGCGCCGTCATTTAAGTGTTTGTGAGGGAACTTTATGGAAGACTTTAACATTCCAAGCGCTGGTCTGAGCAAGGTGTGCCCAGGGAGGATGGACTCCGCTTCTGGCAGGTGGCTGGCTAAAGATGGCGCGCCCAGTATAGCATTGTATTCCATCGACCTTCTCTGTAAATAGTGTATGTGTTTTGCCCAAATATTGTATAGCTTAGCTAAAGGCAAGAGAAGCTCGATTGCACAAGTGGTTAGTATTACCGATTTTATGGATACAAAGATAAGAGCTTTGAACTTACAGATGGAAGCACCTTAGAAGTCGAAACGCGGCCGAGGTTCTCTCGTCTGGTGCTCTGTTAATAAGAAAATAAAAACTTGTTTAATAAATAGAAATATTATGAAATATGCAACAATCTCAAGTAATTTGAAAAAATTAAATTCTACGTTTTGTGTATCGATTCCATTCAAAACCATATTGTGAACCTCTATTTTTCTATGTTCTTTTTCTATTATTTTCTCACATTGGTTATGGACATAATATTTTTATTTGCCAAAATTAAAAATAATCATTCTTCTTTAGTATTATCATATAATGTAACTTACAAATAAATATGTATTATCAGCAATACCGTTAGCCGGCAGAATTTCACTTGAATTATGTCACCGTTTTAATGCTGCGTTTCCACCTAATGCTCAGAACAGTTCTAATATTTTGTTCACTCGGTAAAGGGAATGCTTATAACAATGCTGCGTTGTTTCCATTGATTGTTGAGCAAGAGAGCTTTTGTTGCCTGAAAACAGTCACACATCGTTGTCATCATTTACCAAATTTGCAAATTTTTGCTCGTTCAGAACTCATCTCAATCCGAGAGAGGACTGCAGACCACAACCGCTGGCGACACTGTGGCTAGTGGAGCCGGTAGCCCTTTTTTTGTGACGCAGGCAAAACCTCTACTAACAGACGACGGCGCTTCTAAGAGGAACACCTGGCTCTCGCAAGCTTTACGAGCCCCCGCAGTAGCTCGCCACTGAGGACCCCGTAACTCTTACGGGCACTTCATGGCATAATATCCGCTAAAAAGCTCTGCCAATACCCTCTAAACTGCTAAGTGCGAAACCGCGAAATCCCCGTTTAGGGATTCTGCCGCGTCTCTACACCCAACAGCTTCCCGGCCTAGCTGGGCCTCCCGGGATATTGCGGGGACCCCGCAGACTTGCGCAGGATTGCTCACGCGTGGGGGCTGAGTACGCGGTCTAGTGCCTACCGTACCGCTCCCGTCTGCTGCAGAGGGCTACTTGGGCATGCCCGTGTAGTTCCCTCCACCGCCCCGGAGCCGATAGCCCTGCAGTCGTGGATGGTTTTCCAAACACAGCAAAAGAACGAACGTGACTGCACAATGCATAAAACCAAATTATTGCGGTAATTTGGATTCGTTGTGTCGTAAAGGACTGCATGGCCAGCAACAAAGCTATATAAATTGACTTTGTCATCTTCCGAAAACGTCGACATTTCCATTTCGTACGTGTGAACTCTCTGCGGTTCGCGACACCACTACAGGTAGCGCGCTGCAGGTAACGCGGCGCGGCTATAGTTCGGAATCAATTTCATAGGAATTCATAGAAACAAGTGGTATCACTTGCAGTACAGTTTGCGGTCTCGAATTTGCTTCTTAACTGGAAACGCATCATTAAACAATTCACATATTTTTTTAATCCAAAAGGTCTTAACAGAGGGTTATCTCTGGCGTTTCTTTTTTAACTCATATTTTGTACCCAGAGCTCTCGATTTTATGAACACAATACACATATTTTTTTTTATTCAAATTCAATTCGAATGAAACATATGCTATGCTCTCTTCTTAACATTGAAAAAAAATACCACAAATCTGAACCATATTTTTGAAAATATGAATAAATAATGACATACGATGTTTAAAAAGAAACCTATTTCTAAATTTACTTTTAATTAACAAACAAAGAACCGCTTATAAACATGCTAATCTAAACATGGAAACCCCAAAGGACGAGACTTTCAAGGCTTCGCATTAAAACCTTGACGTAAATCACAATCATATTTTTCTTTGTGCTCCAATTATTCCTCTAACAACTTCAAATCACACTCGTGTGAAATATACACAGAAATGGTCCTATTCAAATATTTACACTTCTAAAAGAGATATAATATTTATATTACGTGTTTTGGTATCGCTGAACGTATTACTTTGACTTAAAAGTGAGAGCTTACTGAAATTTTAACGTTTTACTAACTATATTATTAAAATTTAGGTTTGTTACAAATAAATCTGTAACACTTTTGGCATACAGTAAAATCATATCTGAAATTAAAGCATCTACATTTAGTTACTAGCAGGTGTGAAAAACTTTGTAACAAAAAAATTAAAACGCCCATAAACTTAAAAGCAAATAATAATACAGCTTTTTTATTTAATTTTAATAACCTAGTTCTTAAACTTACATCAGGATATCTAAGTAATTTTGAGTTGACGCCAAAAACATAATGAAAAAAGATCACTTTTCATTGAATTAAAAAAAACATACAATTAAAATTAACAATGCAACATCAAATCTCTAGAGATTAAGATTTTAATTGCTAGCAATAAATATCAACATTCCAAAAAAGGCGCCGATTCCAAATTACTTTACGTTCAGAACTTATTGTTATTAAAGTTAAATAAAAAAGGTTTATCATTGTTTTGCTTTTAATATTTTTCGGCATTATTTTTTATTTTTATGCATTTATTTATATATTCTGTATACACAAAAAATAATATAGCAGCAACTTAATTAAAGATAACATGTACAAGGGTACAACTTATTTCAATCTGAAATTTCTTACAGTATCCCCGTAGTAGGAAAGGCAATAGGTAAAGGTAGTCAGCGTGTACACCTTAATATAAATACATGTTAATACCAATAAATATGAGGTTTACAAATACATATAGGTTTATATATACAAGTGCTTAAATAATGAATAAATACATATACATACGAATATAAAATTGATGCCAATAGATAAATAAATACATATAATATGGACGACGAGAAGAGAAACAATGGGAAGATCAAGGACAAAATTAAGGACAAGAAGATAAAAAGTGTTCTTTCAGATGTTTTTTGAACACTGAGACGGAACTAGAGTCTCTAATTTCTGCTGGCAGCAAATTCCACAGACGGACAGCATGTACTGAGAAGGAATAGGATGCGAAACTAGTGTTATGGGTGGGGGGACATTTTAGAAGGGATTTGAGGTGGGATCTGCAAGGATCTGTTGAAGGGTGAATGAAGGAAAACCGTTCACGGAGGTAGGGTGGATACTGTGGATTATAGAGGATATTGAAAAGGAGATAAAGAATTCTAACATTCCTGCGCAGACGAATGGGAAGCCACTTGAGTTCCTTACGAAAACTAGAAACATGGTCATATTTGCGTAGACCAAAGATGAAGCGGATAGTGAGGTTCTGCAGGCGCTCAAGTTTTTTCAGTAAGGTCTCTGTGCCATCTATGAAGCAAGCATCGGCATAATCGAGAAGCGGTAAAATGAGTGACTGAGCGAGTGAAATTTTGGAATACAATGGCAAAAAATATTGAAGACATTTACGGGAATGGATCGTGTAGTAAATTTTCTGGCTAACGTTAGCGACATGGGCCGTCCAGGACAGATTTTTATTTTAAAATTTATAGTGGTTATATTTTTATATAAAACACAACTAAGCATTATTGTGTGCGAGTGAACAATCACCCTCATTTACGCCTATTTTTTATATTTATTATTTTCTTTTCTTCTCAACTTTAAAGTTAGCGTTCAATCAAATAGAAAGATGATTTGAATAGATTAATTACCCGTACGTACTTACTATTATGTGATCCAGCTGTTTTTGGATGCTGATGCCACGGGCGTTTGTAACCTAAAAAAATATATAACTTTAAATTTTTATGTGCGTGTATGTGTGTTTAGGTGTGAGTGCGAATTTAAAAGAAAAGGGTATGAATCACTGAAGTGGAACCAGCTTAAAAGTGTAGTCTAGATACTAAAATATGCAAGTACTGCAGTAGAATAGCCCCGCTAGCTAAAATATATTAATATAATTATTATGTAATGAAAGGGAACTTCATGAATAAATTCTGAAGTCATTTTTCAATTTGACGACTCTGTAAATAATAAAACAGGGAGAAAAAAACAGCCCTTCCTGAGTTTCTTGCCGGTTCTTCTCATTACAAGGTCTCCCGCCGTAGATTTACGAACCGATGGCGTAGCTTCTAGATATTCATGAGTGCTTGTAACAGCCTAAACTGAATAAATGATTTTGATTATGATTATACTTCGAGACACTTAGTGTTATAAGTTTCAACGGTCTGTAGCAAAAATATATCCATAGCATAAGAATGCGAAGACCCGATCTACACTCGATACGCTATACCAGGTACGGGTATGTACCTGGGCGTTTTTCCCCGCCCCTCACGACAACGGCTAACTAGAGCCGAGCTTCGAGTCTCAGAGACCCCTAGTTGAGTCGACCCCCTCAGGTTCGAGTGGTCTAGAGGCTCCAGACGGACGCTCCGGACGGTTAGGATCTCGCCGTCTCCAAACCCGGTGACGCTGTAAAGGTCATCTGCGACCAATAGCATACACACTCAAAAAAAAGCAAAAATATAGGTTGCTATAATAAGATAATTTTTAAAGCACACGAAAAAGATGGTTACAATATTAAATCAGCTCCAAAACAAATGTAACATTTATTTTTAGCTAGGGATCGTCACATTTTTAGCTTGGTCGATAAATATATACGGTATTTATTTCTTCCTAGTAAGGAAGTATAAAATACTATACACCTCAGTAAAACATAGAAGTAATTAACAGTTGATATTTTTTTCACGTTACACCCGGCATGTGAATGTCACACACATCACATCATCAGCCTATTAATGTCGCCACTGCTGGGGAACAGGCCTTCCTTATGGATGAAATAGGGAGATTGGGCCATAACCCACCACGTAGACCCAGTGCGGATTGATAGGTGCTTACGACTGCAGATGCAGCCGGGACCAACGGCTAAACTGTCTTCTGAGGCACGACGTTAAATTTTTGGTCACCCCTCCAATGACCGACCATTGCGAAAGTTGCTTAACTTCAACGATCGCAGCCGATCGCGCTAAGCACTTGCGCCATCGAGCTCCTCACACGTGAAAGTAATACTTATAAAATAATAAAAACAACAAAAAATATCAATATTCTACACTCCACTACGTGCCTAAGTTGAATGGAATCCAGAAATAGGTACAAACATACCTATATTTTATCACCTATCAATCCCTACTATCACCCACCAATTCCTTATTATTACCCACCAATCCCTTTATCTCCCTCGAATCTATTTTCCTCTACAATCTCCCTTGTTTACCCTTGAAACCCCTTTCGCCTTTGAATCTCTTTTCACCATCGAATCCCCGTTTTCGTCGGGTAGGGTAGCGTCTATCTGGCTTGCTAATAATACAACAATGGAGATAGAAAAACAACAGAAATTTACTGCTTGAAATAACAGTACATATTAAAAACACAAAAAAAAACATTACTTCTTTGGCGTTCCACTTGAACTTCGATCGGCATAAACACCCTTCTTGTTCACCAAATATGTGGATATAACTACCTATTTCTAAACGGGCAGGTATGGGGGCAAATGGATCTTATCATCGAATTCCATAAAATACGAGCGTCGTAGCCGACACGCATGTGTCGTAAAAAAGTAGTACTGCGTTGGAAACAAGATTTATAAACTGTATTAAAATAATTCGATATTTCATTCGGTATTGTAGAAGTAACATTAGATACAACCATAGCTAAGTCATAGGATGTACTATTGTAATGCTTCATGATGAAAAGGTTTACCCGCCTTTTAGAGATCATAGTTAAGACGAAAAACTGCTGAGGGAATTTCATTCCAGATCTTGCTGGTACGCAAGAAAAAGATGTGTGACGCGTGTGAGTGACGCCGCACACAGGCCACACGCCATAGCCACAAACGCCGCCACGAGAAGCTAGAAGCGGCTGCTAAAGTGGCTGAAGCGCGCGACAGCGGCCGACTAAGGTAAGGGAGAGAGGGGAGGGGAATCGGGCGAGTGACGTGTGGCGGCGTTTTGTATCGGCGCATTAAGTGGCCGGTGCGGGCCACAAGAAGCGAGCAACGACGATTTGTAGCGTGTGGCGGGTACCGGCGCACCGTGTGTGGCGAGTCCATATAAAATGTATGAAAACTCAAGAAATATGCCGGTGACGGCGTTTTGTAGTTGTGGTCGGTGGCCCGTGTGCGGCGACAGTAACGCATGGTGCTAGAACGCCAAACTTCCAGATAGTGAGGTTGAAACTTCTCTCTGCAGCGTGTGATCGAAATAATTTTATAGAAATAAAAACAAGTACAATATTGCCTTGTTATTACGTGGTTTCGAAGATTAATAGTTGGATTAATAGTTACCATTGTGCTCAAAAATAGTCGTAAGACATTTCTTACGCAGATACGTTTGGTAATGATAAAATAATTAAAGATAATGCTGTTACTACTTTAGAAATTTTTAAAAGAAAAGTCAATGGAAGAGCAATCCATGAATTCGAATTTGAAAGAATAATTCTTAGATCTCGTGCTCTACATGACTTGAAAGGGCATCGAAAATGATTAACAGATTATAAAAAAAAATAGAAATCATAAAATTTTAATTAAAACTCGCGGCTTAGCACCTCTACAGCCTCAACCGTCACCAATATCGAAAAAAAATTCAATACCGAGGTGTTTTTTTTCATATTTTTGAAATTCGACTCCGTTCAATACAAAAAACTTTTTGACTTTTACAAAACAATTTTTACGTCTTCTTAAAGCCGTTCAAATTCCGACTTTTGAGCCCTCATACTTCCTTGTAGTCCTAAACCTCGGGGTATTACGGGTGAGTCGCACTTTCAGCGAAAAAGGGGGCCTACTGGAGCGAACGAAAAAACATTTACAATGTTCAAACTAAATTCTGAACTTTATGCAAAACTTAAGATCAAAAAGTTACTGGTGTCGTTAGCATTTCGCATCCAACATGTGACATACGAAAACGAATAGGTACTATTTACTTACGCAAATAAAAACCATGTACAAAATAACTTTATCCATACTGAGTTCTATCCATTACCGACCACTACTTAAAATGAAAACCCTGATAACAAGTTAGTCAAAACAATCAATCAGAATATGCAATCAAACATTTCATTTCATACGGTTGTATTCTACTTTATCTTAACAATGCAAAATGCAATGAAAACAAGTAGGTGGTAGAAATTCATGTAGTTAAAACGTTTGTTAGTATATTCTCAAAGTTTCAGGGATAGGTATCGTCATGCGAATAGAACTTAAACTCAAACTCATTTATTCAGTCTAGGCTATTACAAGCTCTTGTGAAAGTCAAACGCTACGCCATCGGTTCGTAAATTTATGGCGGGAGACCGTGTACTGAGAAGAGCCGGCAAGAAACTCAGCAAGGGCTATTTTTTCTCCCTGTTTTGTTTCATACAGTGTCGTCAATTGAAAGATGACATCAAAAATTGAAAACAAGTGTTGATGTCAACTTCCATCACATTAATATTATTAATTAACAGAAGTTAACACTTAGGGACCCGCGCTTCAAATTGCTACACAAACACTCGCTACCGGGTCCTGCGGACCCAGACAATATTATGTGTTTATTCGAAAACTTCTCAATGAAAATGGTTGGTGTTTTTAAATATCGTTAATAATGTTCAAAAAATAAACAAATATTTAATAAAATACGAATATTTATTGTTTTACTTAATCAAATGTCAGTACAAAAATATACCGAATCTTGGCATAGTTTTACGATTAAACTTAAACATAAAGCTGTAAAATCTGTAACGATATATTTTTAACAAAATCTTTTTTACTTTAATATACTACTATTATTTATCTACTAAAACTAAATATAATTAAGAGATCAATCATCATAGGAACAAGCAAAATCAACTAATTTTAGATTATTATTTTTAGTCTATAATCACTTTCCATCATAGTTCTACATTTTTCTTTATAAAACTAAGCTATAACAATTTGCACAAATTTGTTTCATATGTTCTCCACAAACTGGTGTTACTCCACATTTTACGCAAAAAACCTTGGTTTGCCTGTCTTTCTTCCAGTTACAGAGACCGCAACGTACTTTTCGTCCACTCGCTGGTAAGGGTGCGTTGGATGTTGCAGTTAGTTCTACTTACGGTAATATGTTTCGGATACGGGTTTTGATATGCTGTGGAATATTAGTGATAGAAATTCTTACACGTAGATGAGGTTCAATCAAAGTAATAGTCAACATTTTGATAAAATCTCTTCGTGTGAGGTCATAAGAAGGTACTGTGGCCTTTTGAATAATGTAAGCGTTTAGACCACTAATATTCAAAAACCCAAAAAATATACAAAGAGGCCATCTTTGAGTTCGTCTTGACACTGAATATGTGCCAATCATCTGATCAACTACATCGACTCCGCATTTGAAGGCGTTGTAATCAGTTATTATTTCAGGTTTCTTTTTTTCTCCAGTTTTGTCATCATGATGCATAGTGGATGCTAAGAGAACTATTTTGCTATGTTTGGGTACGTAAGATATTAGTGTGGCATCATTTTGAAATCCAAAGTAGGAACGAAAAATAGTAAACAAACATAAATAACAAGATGAAAAAAAACACTAACGTATTTAGTCGCTACCGGGTCCAACGGACCCATATACACCTTTCACGTCCATAGCACTCACACGCAGCGCGCTAACTGACAGCTAAAAAGGCGATCTATCGCCTCATACTATTGTCGAAAGGTACTAAGAGCGGCAACATCGCAAACTTCGTAATTTTTAAGTAATTCAACAAAATACAAGGCACTGGGTCCACTGGACCCATTAGCGAGTCCTTAAGTGTTAAGTATAGCTAGGTACTATTTTTAAATTAAGAAGTGGCGATTAAACAATTTTCAACCAAATTAGTTAAAGAAATTATTACAAAAAAATGTTTAAATGTAAAGTAAAGATTTTTGTCGTTTATGCGATTTTAAATTATGAAGCTAATAATACAACCAATACCCATTATAATTTTGCATATATTCCTTGTCATAACATTAACAATATTTTATGAGTTCCTCCGGATAAATTAATATAAATATACATGTATATCAGAATAAAATATTAAAGAAAAGGAAAGGAAAAAAAAATACCATAAAGTTAATAGTGACATAGAGAGGGCAATCATTCACTGCTACATTTTATACGTAAATATTTTATACGAAATAAACTTACACCTGTAAAATTATTCCTCTTAAAATTATCGTTGATTATGAGAAAATTCCGTCGTAGACTCTAACAAAATACTTTGTATCAGTGCAGTAGTTCGATGTCGTAGTGCTAACATTATCAATGCATGGGTTTGTTAAAAAAAGAGTTTGTGTAAAACATTTTACAGGATTTGCAACGCGCGTATGCGACTCCCTTAAGTGTCGCCGCACACGTGCCACACGCCACAGCCACAAACGCCGCCACGAGAAGCTAGAAGCGGCTACTAAAGTGGCTAAAGCGCGCGACAGCGGCCGATGCGGGCCACAAGAAGCGAGCAACGAAGATTTGTAGCGTGTGACGGCCACCGGCGTACCGTGTGTGGCAAGTCCATATAAAATGTATGAAAACTACAAGAACTATGCCGGTGGCGGCGTTTTGTAGTTGTGGTCGGTGGCCCGTGTGCGGCAACACTAAGCCACTCGCAGGCGTCTATTTATACTTTCTGTATAAGTACATATATAAGTATATTATATATACAGTACTAGCAAACCAGGCGAACTCCGTTTCGCCATCAGATTGCTTCGTTTTATATAACATTTCGTTTGGTGATTAAAAGAAGAATTTTTTTTTTGAAAATTTTCCTGAATGTTCTTTGCTATAAACCTCACGGAGCCCGAGACCTTTCCAACGAATGCAAAACCGTGGAAATCGGTTTGTGCGTTCTGGAGTTATAGCGTCAGGAAGGAAAACCCGACTTATTTTTATATAGTAGACTAGCAAACCCGGCGAACTCCGTTTCGCCACCAGATGGCTTCTTTCTATGTAACATTTCGTTTGGTGATTAAAAGAAGTTTTTTTTTTTATAATTTTTCCTAAATTTTCTTTGCTATAAACCCCACGGAGTCCGAGACCTTTCCAACGAATGCAAAACCGTGGAAATCGGTTCGTGCGTTCTGGAGTTATAGCGTCAGGAAGGAAAACCCGACTTATTTTTATATAGTAGATATAAGCAGTAGTGTACATATATAAGTATATTTATATAGAAATACATAATAAACATCCATGACTGGAGTACAAATGCTCGTATTCATCACACTAACATCTGCCCCCACCGGGATTCGAACGAGTCGGCGACACCATGAAACACGGCGTATAAACCACTCGACCACGGAGGTCGTCACTCCATTGGGCATGATGATAGTTTAACATGAGGCGGACCCTGTGCTCATTACCCTTTCGAATAATATGAATACTATTTTCATAAAAACAAAAGCACTGAAAAGTAAGAAATAATACAAATACTTTACTTATATCAAAGGTTTAAACTAACATTATTGATGTCGGTGCTACGCCAACTCAAGCAGTGAACGGTAACTGAGATCTATCAACATGCGTGGCAACACCGACTCCAAATGTTAACTTTACTTTTAATGTACTTAAGTTAAAAGTAGACAATTGTCGTATTTCTTACATATTAAGTAGTGGTGATGTTTTCATAAAGTCGGCTTTTATTATTGTTAAAAAAAAGTTTTTATTTTCCACTTTTAAAAAACCAGCCCGAGTAACATCAACTAAATAAGTACTTGGTTCCAGGCCTGCATTGTCTCTTTCATATCTCAACATATATATTTTAATATATTTAGTACTGTTTGTAATTGAGGAGTTCCAGTGTTTTTTCCAAATACTCATCAGATCTTCACCAAATTAGTATGGGACCATTTCGCAAAAAAACTGATTCAAATAAAAAAATAATTATCAAAATTGGTCGACGCATCTCGGTGGAATGCTCGCAACACAAAAAATTAAAACCTGACGAATTGAGAAACTCATCCTTTTGAAGTCGGTTAAAAATTAAGTTTTGTTAATTTTATAGACCTAGCTAGGTTGGTACCTACTCAAAGTTATCCAATCCCGAACCTGAACCGGTGCTACAAAATCCATATTGATAAATATCGCTAATTTGCCCCGTAATGTGTAATTTGTGTTTTAATCAACTTCGTAAGTACCGATTACCTATACTATCAAGTGTTATAAATTACTTACATCCTTCCGTTGGAGCAAGCATTATATCGGTCTTATAATGAGAGCAATGATGTCCAAAGCGATAATAAGAAGTTATGGTCGTGGGACTGCAATGATTTCTGCGTTTGGATGATAACCGAATGAAATGACGTAGTTTCAGCAAAATTTAGAGGTTCTTTGTGCTACAATCCTGCTATACTACCTGCTAAGGGTTGATGACTTACTTTTTTCTTCATGTAAGAGGTAAAATATCAAAAAGTATTACACACGTATTGAAAACATTACACAGATAATATTGATTTGAAATGTCGCATGACGTCACGTCTAGGTACAGTTTTCACTTAGACGTCGAGACGTCACGAACCATCCAACCAATTCGCAAACTTTGACGTGTTATCTTTGTAATTTTTTGGACAAAAGTTATATTATGATATATGTTACTGACGGACTTAATCAATTTCCATTTACTGTACCCCGTCATCATCCCTATCGGAAAAAGCTTTAGACTACCACCATAGAGACTCTCAAAAAAAACTATTATAAATCAGAATTTCAAGTTGCGCTGTATCTGACATATCTTTGATACTAACCTAACTTACCTGTGTCGAAGTTTTCACACCAAAATGGAATATTTTATCGGGGCAGGGCGAGAGACAACCTGACCTCTGCACTCGCGGTAGATGCAAATGGTCGCTCTCGAATATTTCCAACAGATAGGAAATAGGGTTCCCGAAATAGGCGAGAGTGTCTGCTCCGACATTTTGTTGCTTTCGAAATGTTATTCTTATTTATTGCTTAAATCTTATAATCTGTGCTGCTATTT